GCCTGGTTGTTTTTCCTCATGTGGGGCTAGTTGGCACTGAGTTTCAGTCTGTTAGGCTTTTTTTTTTTCTTTTAATTTCAGCATGATAGAAAATCTTTAGCTATTCGTCTTTCCTCAGGTTTTCATTTATACTATCCTAATGACTGTGCCTATTGGTCACTCATATATCTTTTGTGAAATTTCAATTTTTGTGTCATTTTTTACTAGGCATATTTTAATTACCAAATTTTAGAAAGTCTGTATAAAATAAAAATCCTTTCATCTATCATAGTGTTTTTATTTAAGTTTCGTAATTTATTTTCAATGAAAAATATAGTGTTATATCATGAAGAAAGCCAGCTTTTCAAAATTTATGCAACTGATTTCATTTGACTTTGACTTTTAAGATTTTAAATATATTTTTACGTTATTTTTTATAGCAGTTAGTCCTGTTTGGCATAATATGATGACATATACATGTATTACCATCTTATATTGAGGTAACATTGTTTTATAACTCTTTATATGATTTAGGGGAGTAGGTTCACACCTCCCTCTCCAGATGTATATTACCGTACCATGAACACCACCAAAGCGTGAATAATCCTTCACCTTAGTCCATTGGCCCCCCTCTTCCTTTTCAGCATGTTAGACTTGATGGGAGAAGAGGCCTAGCCATTTTTCTTAATGAAAAGAATATGGGTTAGAACAATGTAAGCATTTCATGTAAATGAATGCTTTTTTGTTGTTCATTATGTAATGCCTTATTCCATTCCAACTACCTCTGCTTACATAGCATGAAATTTTTTTAGCATGAGAATATGTTTTAGTAGCAATAGGTTAATGTTTATTAAGTACTTAAAAGTACAATCACTGTGTACTATTATATTTTACTTACTCCTTATAACAGTTTTATTAATTTGGTATTGTCTTTCTCATTTTCAAGTGAGGAGATGAAGTCTTAGAAAGGTAGGTTGCTTCACCAAAGTAACTGATACAATTGGAATTAGGATATAGTCAACCTCTAGAAGCTGTGTCCCTTAGCCATTCTGCTTAACAGCCTCCTGTTGAATGAACTGCATTAATGAACTACCCTTGGAAATAATTCTTGATCTATAAAGTGAACCAGAACCATTCTTCAGTCCAGAGTGATCATGAGAGACTTAAGCTTGCAGTATCCCACTGGCATTTTTACCAAATAAGAGTTTATCTAGGTCTGTTGGAGATTTGAAACTAGACATACTGTTCCTGGCTGATGGATGTTCTTTTGGTCACCAGGTCATTGAAAAGCACGGCAGGTATAGGCTGTAGTAGTCTCCACAATTGTTTTAGGAAATCCTCAGCAGCCAGAATCTCTGCACTTGGCTCTCACTGACATGGCATATGTTTTAATTAGCTAAACCAACATACAAGAGAATGATGACTATACATGATCATTGATGTTGTCTGTTGACAACTCATTTGAATTCTAGCTAGGTAAAAAAGCTTCTATACTAATAGGTTTAGTGAGTTGAGAGCAAATGACTTGTCTGCAGAACTGGGTCTTGAACACTGTCTTCTCTTCAAACTTAGTCCTCTTTCATTATGTCTTACTTCCTCTGAGGAGCAAAATGCTTTGAGCACACCAGAAATAGAAAATAATCAAATCTTCCCCTTTATCATGTGGCTTATGAAAAATCAAGTACCCAATTTGATAAGCCATTGGATAAGCTTATTATGGAATATTTTGTTTTCTCTTTTGCATAGTTGCTATTTATGATTATAGTTTTTGGCATGAGGGGGTGTGTGGATTGTGTGTGTGTAGTCTCAAAAGAACTATGGCTAGCTAGTTGATTGAATAAAAATAATGTTAAGAGAATGTGGTAGGAGGTTGACGTCAATAAATTGAATAAGTCTTCTTTTTAAATTTATTGTTGTGTTCTTCCAGCCTTGCTTAGTTATGTTAACTACCCCTGACCTTTTCCCCTGCTTGCCTTTCAGGGCCTAAACATTTATATAAAGGCTTCCAATGTGATTAGCATTGATGCTTCTGAGATTGCTTAGAAACTGATGGTCAGAGATTAATTGTAGGTTGCAGCAGTGGTCAGCCCAGGAGGCTTTTACATCTGTCTCTTCCCTGGATTGAAAATGTTGCTGGGGCCATATGGCAAAGTGCTTCACAGAAAAGCCAAGAGCAACTTTCTGGCTGGGTTCCGGATTAGCACTTGCTTCCATTTTAAAGTAGATGTTATGGTGTTTGGGGTTTGATTTACTGTAACTAATTGGATTAATCCTTAACTTGAAATCACATGGGGGTGTGTGTGTGTCTAGAATCCAATTCCAGTAATGTTATCAATATTCCATTCAGGGAAAAATTTCATTAAACTATGTTTCTCTTTATATGTATGGAAAGGAAAACACCAGTTAGTAAGTATCTGACCCTTTATTAACTTATTCTCTTGAAAATAAAAACAGTTTTGTTAAGAACAAAAGTGAGGTTATCTGGCTGGATTTTTCTGTTTGCCTCTTTTAATTAATCTGTAACTATCATTCAGTTAAATGCCAAAATGCTTTCCTTACATGCAGAGGTGTTATTATGGCCTACTTTATGTGCATGTTTACTGTGCGCCTGCCAACTTAAAATATGCATACCAAGCCATACATCCCCAAGACCTGAAAATCTGAATTAAAAAAAATTTAGTGTTAAGAAGTTAAAAAATTGGATTGTGCTTGATTATTGTGAGAAGGTCTCATTTGCTTTGAGTCTCTCTGTGTTTATCTGAGTATTTGTGTGAGAGTGTTTTTGTCTCTCATATACTCCTTCCCTCTCCAACCCCTTTCTGTCATTCTCTACTATGTTCTCTGTGTCCCCCCCCACCCTCCAGCCCCCAACCCCCATCTTTCTGTCTCACCCTTTCTGGATTCAGTCCTTTGTCTTCCTCCCTCCCACCTCCCACCCCCCACTACCACCAACACTGTCCTTCAGATAATATCTCATTCTGGTGATGACTTTTATTCATGCCGATGGCTGTATTTTTATGTTATTTTTGCTTGCTTTTGTACCAGGGTAATTCTTTTTATTTGTGTGCTTCTATATACTACTTTAAAATTTTACAACAGCCAAGTCTGAGAATTGGCACAAGGGTTTTAAACCTGCTTCATTTCATCTAACTTTCTCTCCACCTTTCATCTTCCTGCTCCATCAGGAAGATGGAAAAGCATATTTGGTTACATAGTGATTTGAAATTAAGCTTGGAGCAATGCATAAACAGAACACTGAGATTCTGCTTGATTTGTGTCTGTAAGATTTGGACCTACAAAATAACTTGCTTGTAGTGGGTAATAATAACAGCCATATAATTTTCCAGGGAAGTCCATATTGCTAGGGTAATAAATCTGTGGTCTCTAGAGGCTCCTATGGTTAATAATTTGTCATCATGGTGGTGAAATATGTGAACTTTTATGTGATTTTACAAACTGACCACGTATAAAAGGTAGAAGATCTTTTTATGTTTTGGGGAATTATTTGTAAAGGACAATTGCTATTTTCTCCTGTGCAACAGTTCTGTGGAAGAGGAACTTTCCCCTTAATTGAGTTGTATTAATCTCTAAGCAAAGCCTAGAAAGGGATTTTGCAATGGAGCTCAAGGTGTTCATTTAATAAATCATATTTATTTGATACAGGATGTTTAATTAAACCCCCAAGTGACTTTTTCATTTGACTATCATTTTGATTTAAAGAAACTGTATTCTGGTTGGCATATTGCAGAAGAAGCCAAGTGGAAGCCTGTACCATCAAAGATTCTTTCAGCACGAAGCTAGATTTTTAAAGTATTTGCATTTAACATTTTAAGAAAATATAAGTTCTTTTAGATGAGTAAAAATTTTCACACAAGTCACTCGAGCTATTTTTAAAAATCGATCTTATTTTAAATTAAGTTAGATTTTGGTGAAAATGTTTTCTGATACTAGTATTCTTTTTAGGAAATATGTGTTCCTATAAATTGTTTATTCAGAAATTGACCCTGAATACAGAATTTCAGATCATTGAAAACAAGATCGTTTGAAATTTGCATTTCCTTTCCTTTTGCTAATTCATTTCAGTCTCAACAGGATTTTCTCGTGAAATTAACTTTTTCCTCTCTGCATTGTTATGTAAGCTTGCTTTTCTGATCATGAAATATTTTACCTATTTCTGCACTTATTAAAGTGAACTTCTATTTGAAAGGTTTCTGCTTTTAAAGTTCAAGTATATGACTAGAGGCAGATGAATAACATCTCAGCATTTATAGCCACAGAATTTCCCTATAATTGTTAGATGCCTTTGGAAAGCTAGACCTTGTGCCCTAAAGCATGCCTTTGTGTTTGAAATCTTTAGTGAACCACTTTCCCAGGTCTATGCTTCCAAAGCCCTGCTTTTCTTTCCTCAGGATAAATTGCATTACATGTTACCAGTAACAATGTCACATCATTTCAAAGAAAACTGAATTAAGTAGTGCAAGTCCAGGTTGCTGGAAACTAGATGGCATAGGGTAGGCCCTGCTTTGGCTACTGTGCAAAGAATATATTTGTTTCATTACCAAGGACTGGTCACTCCTCCAATATCTTGTCATACCCATTTCTGATCGCTGTTGTCCCCCCATCCCAACACAATCATGTACATTTTTTTTTGCTCAATCTCTTTACCTACTAATATTATGAACTATAAACAGTATTTGCCATTGGGAAAATTATAAAGCATTCACTCACTCTCCTAATTGACTTTGGGGGAGCAGATGGTACGTTCTCCCTGGAGGAAGATAGATTGGAGAACTGTGGTGGTTAGAGTGCCGTCTGACTTGAACAACCCAAGAAGCCTGGTTCTAGTGGGTTTCAGTCCTCTCCAGGTATCATATGAGTCCAAACCAGTTTTCTAGTTCTCTTTTGTTATTGCCTTCTGGAAGGATTACCTTTTTTATGTTTGGGTACAATATAGATTTAGTTTTTTGTGAATCATTATAGCATTTTAAATCATCCTTCATTTATTTTTTTGTCTTTTTCAGATTGTTTGAAGGACGTTCATCAAGGAAACCAGAGAAGCTTAAAACACTCTTCTGCTACTTTCGAAGAGTCACAGAGAAAAGTAAATCCCTTTCATTCTTGCTATAATTTTTATCACCAAGGGGACAATTAGATCAACTGACATTTCAAGGACACTTTGTGTTCAAAGTATACTTTTCCTGCCTGAACCACATTGAAACAGTAATAATTCACTCTTAAAATCTATATAATATGCATAAGTATGTATATACATTAATCTGTGTTGTGTGAGATTTTTGTATACTGTGATATCCTAATGGATTTTCATTAATAAAAACAGTAAATTAATATTTTTAAGAGAAAGCATATTGACCAGGAAATGTGTTTTGCATGTTCTTTATTTAAAGAAGCATTGACTGCTTTAATTATTTTAAGTGTATTTGCATAGGTCAGCCAGTTCATTACCTTCCTACCTATCCCGTTATTTTGTCCACCCCCCACCCCAATCTTTTGTAGTGTTCTTATAGAACAGTGTTGTATTTAGAGTCTACAAGTCTTTGTTCCTTTCCTCGAGGCTAGTAATAGCACTCAAGGCAGTAGTCTAGCATTGCTAGCAATGACCAGCTGATAACAGATTGGAATTGTCACTCTTATCCCAGGAGCTGGGTGATCATGGACAATTTTTTAACATCTCTAAGCCTCAGTTTCCTCATTTGTAATATAAAAGAATAATAATTACCTCAGAGGATAATTGTAAATATTAAATGAGAAGTTAGATGCTTAATAAATGTTAGCTCTTATCAGTGACTGACCTTTCTTTCAATTATAAAGAAAAATGGAACTTCTCAAAAGTTGCTTTTGGTGAGCAGGTCAGCTCCAGTCAAGTGAAGTGAGTTCATTTCAGTTCTACCCATCTAGGTTTTGGGGATGTCTTAAAACTTACCACCGAATCATTTTAAGCTCATCTTTCTCCTGTGCTTCCTTTAATAAGTAATCTTGCATTATAGCTTACTTGGCATTTTTCTCCCTTTAATGTTGTTACTGGACTTTGTTTAGCTATTTAGAATGAAGTCAATTACTAGAAATTCAGTATTTAAAGGAAAGAATCATATGCTTCTTTAATACAGAGCTATTTATCTCTTAGTTTATGATTTTTAGTTTTGTGCTCTGTACTGAATGAAATATTAAGGAAAATGAAAGATTATGTGGACTTTATGAGACAAAACTAAATTAGAATTTGTAATAATTTATTAGAAAAATGAGTACTTTTTTGCTATTCTATATCTCAGTTGAATGAATACCATTATTTTACTGACGTTATTCAAAATTTACATTTTTGTCCTTGGAGTCAATAATGTATGACTTCTCTAAAGCCAACTTATTTTCTAAATTTGGGATTTGAAACTGAGGGAAATAGCTAAACTCTGTTTTGTACCAAGTAATTTATAAACCATCATAAGTATTAGGAATTAGGCTCAAAAAAATAAGTTCTAATTAAACATTTTACCTTCTGGCTTTTTCATTGCACATGGTAATTTAGTTCTTTGTGGAATATAGTAAAACATGGTATAGGTTTTCAGGATATGAAGTTACAGGCTTAAGGAGGAAATAAATAAGTGGAATAAAAGATTTGCAGCTGAATGATTAGGTTATATAGAAGTTCTGGAGTCCTGAATAGAAACTGTGGAAACCTATTTATTTAAAGTACCTAGATTTCATTAAATCTAGGACATTATAGATGGTAAGACCTGCCATTATGTTTTGTACTACTAAAAAGGAAAAAACTCTCAGGGTAGAGAGTTGTAGAAGACCTCTCTTATAAAGCTGGTCGATTGAAGGTCTGTACCCTTAGTCTAAGAATTAAGGGACAACAAAGACACAAGTGTCAGCATTGTCACTGAGGGAGAGAGAGAAAACTTCTCCCCTGAGAAGTTTGGGGACTGAAGTCAGAGAACCAGTGTGGTACACAAAAGCCTGCAAGAGGATTTAATTCATACTGATCTCAGATGGGTGGGGCACATTTTCTCTGGAAAAGTTCAACATTAATCCAGACCAACAGCAATGACTAAATACTTATATCAATATTAAAGATGTATCCCAGTTTCAGAAATTAAGTACATGACAAAATGTGCTTTTTAGAATTCACAGAATATAATTCTATCATAACTAACTTTTCCATGTTGTCTTACATCAATATATTTGTAGTGAGGATCTTGAGACTAAAAGCTTTTTTTTTTTTGTGGGACCCTTGCCGGCTGCCGGTTACGAACCTGCGCTGCAGAGGCTGCGGGCAGCCTCGCAGCCCAGTGCTCAACCGCGGCACCACCAGGGGAGGCCAGAGACTAAAAGCTTTTAAAGAACTTTCTGTATTAAATCATTTTCAATATAGCTTTAGATAAAGTATTTTATACAGTATTTAAAAGTTGGTGATTCATGTCGTTTATATTGTGATTTTATTAAGAGAATTATTTGATTAACCCAAATAAAATACTTTGAGAAAAAAGGAGCCTTTTTATGGATTAAAGGTAATAGGCATAATCTCAGTGCTAAAGAGCCAGGTTTCTTGCCTTTTCTTGCTTTACCAGCAATGTTCATTTATGAATTTCTCTTGTTCTCTTTTATGTATGTGGAGGACATTTAATATTTACTGTTGATAGAATAGCTTCTCTCATGTTTGAATTGTTTGACTTCTTACTTGTAAGTTTTAAGTATACTATCCATTTGTTTTAAACTTAGATATCTAAGGAATATTTTAAAATCCATGCTAACAAAATTCTGTTTTCTAAACTACTGCATGTAATTTTTGAGTTGCTTCTGCTTCCGAGAGAAATATGAAATCATCCAAAGGATAACCAAGCTTTCATTGGTACTCTACTACCATTACCACTAATAGTTCCTGACATACTGCTCTTTGCTTAAGAACTTTTATTTTAGCAGAAGAAAACAGAAATGGCCTGGCCTTTTTAGTTTCTTCTTTGATTCGAATCACATAGATTACTTTTAGCCTGCTGATTTATTTGTTGTTTTTGCCACTAGTTTTTTTTTTTTTTTAAACAAAAGAAAGGATCTAAAATTATTGCATTTTGATCCTCTACTATCTATTGCTTTTTGAAAACTGTGTTATCTTTCTTCTCTAACCTCTTAGAACACACTAATTCCTCCTTCCGGCTAATGCTCTTTATAAGTAGAGCAAATGCATATTGTCTGAGCCCTGAATTGAACTCTGTCAACTCCAAAGCTCACACCAGCTATTTCCTTTTTTAATCTTAAACATATTATCTTATTATAAAAGCATGTAAATGTGGACACATTCACCAGTCTTTAGGTGTAGAGTTAAAACCTGACTTTGAGAAGAAGTCTACAGATTAAAATTCACTTTTCTCTTTATCTTATAAGCTACACCCGTTATATATCCTTTTTTTTTTTTTTTTTTTAAAGATTTATTTATTTATTTATTTATTCATACAAGCACTGGGCACAGTCAGAAGCGCGGGAGGGTGAGAGAATTCACCAGAGTCAGAGCAGGATGCAGAACAGGCAGACGGACCGAAGTACACTGCTGAGGGGAGCAGCGGGCGGCAGGAGAGGTCTGAGCGCCATGTGGGACCCTCCTCTGGTGGCCGGGGAGCAGCCGGGGATCGAACCGGCACTGCAGAGGCTGCGGGCAGCTTCGCAACCCCGCGCTCAACCGCTGCGCCACCGGGGAAGCCCCGTTATATATCCTTTTGTTCAGTGATTTGTTTGAAAGAATATTTAGTTTGAAAAACCTCACCAAAAAGTACTAGCACTCAAATTCTGTAGTTGTATTGTTATTTGTATAGTTTTGTTTAGTGAAGGCTTATGGTTTTATTTTTTTTAATTTTTTTAATTTATTTTATTTATTTTTATTTTTTTAAATTTTTTAAAATAAATTTTATTTTTATATTCCCCATACAATTGCAATCCCCTTATTTTGACCCCAATCCCTCCCCTCCCTACCCGCCCCCCCCCATAGAGTGTCTCTGGTTCATAGTTTTTTGTTGATTTTGATTTTCACTTTCTTATAGTTATTCATTTTCCTGGTCCCTTATTTAAGTTTTCTAGATTCCTGCTATGAGTGAGACCATCCGGTATTTTTCTTTTTCTTTCTGACTTATTTCGCTGAGCATGATCCCTTCCAGCGCCATCCATGTTGCTGCAAATTGCATGTGTTTATCTTTTTTGAATGCTGAGTAATATTCCATGGTGTATATGTACCACATCTTCTTGATCCAGTCATCTGTTTTTGGGCATTTGGGTTGTTTCCAAAGCTTAACTATTGTAAACAGTGCTGCAATAAACATAGGGGTGCAGGTGCTCTTTGGAATTGATGTTTCTGTGTCCTTTGGGTAAATACCTAGGAGTGGAATTGCTGGATCATAAAAGTTCCTACTATAAGGATAATGTTATTTTAAATCACACTTCTATTGTATTCCTCTGCTATACTTGGTATTTCCTGATTTGCTTTATAGTCATTGTCAGACCCATTATTATGTGGAACGTATGTAATCTCTTCAGAACTGAAACTTACCTTGGGTATTTTTCATCTATTGCTTTTGTAGAACCTACTGGGTTGGTGACATTTACACGACAGAGTCTTGAAGATTTTCCAGAGTGGGAAAGGTAATAATAAAAAAAAAATCATGGAATCTTAGAATTAAAAGGACTTTTTTTTTTTTCAAATCATGAGAGGATTCTATTTTGTAGCCCCTGGGAAGATGGTTTCCCAACCTCTAAATACCCTAGTATTAGGAAGTTTCATAATTGATCCTTTGATAGCTCTCATTATTAACAAGGTATACCTTTTGAATCAAAGTGTGTAACCTTTTGACTTATACTGTTTTGACTAAGTTTTATCTTCTGACACAAAGGCATATTTAGAATTAAGTTTTATGTATAAAGACACTAAAATTAGTGGACTATCAATATTTAAATGTTCATTTTCACCCTTCTTTTTGGTCAGTATTTGTGTTTTGTGTTTTATGACTTTCTTTCTGAAAGACAAGACTGGGAAAAGTTTTTTTTTTTTTTTTTGTTAAACTAAAATGTAAATATTAATTACCTAGATTCTGATTGGGAAGAATTTTGAAGTTTAACTATCCCATCTCCTAGGTGGCACATTTTGTGAAAATTGCTAATGTACCTTTTTCCCTTACTAATTTATCTGCAAATACTGAGGAGAATAATAGCCAATCTGGGTTCATTCAAATTAGTAAATTTCTTAATGCCCTCAAATAGTTAACACATTTCCTAATCTGAGCAAATCACCAAAGCACTTAAAAAAGAATGGATCTACTTTCTAAACACACTTTGAGGCCATAATTAAGCATACTAAGTTTATATTTTGCATGTGCATTATTATTAAGCAGTGCCACTCATTTTTACCTAATGATAATTTTTATCATAGTTTGTAATTATGTTTGGAGTGAATAATGGAAGAGACTCATTTTTAAGGGAGTTACCTGGAGAAGGCAAATCTGCTTAGGTGACTTTCATCCATTAAAGGTACTTATTTGTGAGGTGAAAGAAAAGCAAACTTACTTTAAGAGTGGAATGCATGACTGAGATGATTATTAGTAGAAGAAAATGGATAAAATTAAATAAACTGAAAAAAAGCAGTAAGAATTGCTTTCTTAGCTCTTGTATTAGTTTGGATGTTTTTATTCATCTTACTTTAGTATAGAAATATGGATGTTTTTGTTCATGTTACTTTAGTATCTATACTTTAGTATAGATTTTATAGACCATTCAGAGGGCTTGTTTTAATTCAGCTCAGAATCTCTACTCTGCATCTGACATTCATTTGGCTCTAATGTTAAAGGACATCCATTTGTACATTGTAATCCAGGAGAGAAGGAATAGGTTGAAATGCAAAGATTGGCGAGGCTACTGTGTCAGTGAGATAAATTTGCTCTTAAGATTGACTTTGATAAGCAGAATTTCACTTGATAACCTTTCTAAGTTTTTTATTTTATTGATCTTTTTTCTTTTATTTGCTTCATAAGTGAATTGGAGAATAAAATTAAAATTGGTGTCTTTAGACTTCACAGAACCACAAACATGCATTCACATAGAATGAAGAAGGTGCATTCACATGAAGAAGAGATGAGGATTATTGATATTCCCAAGAGTAAGGGATTAAGTGGGTGCCAGGAAGTTAGAGGATTTTCTGATTGTCCAGTTTCTAGCACGTTATAGTTAACCCTTTGATTATTAGTAAGTATCTTAGCCAAGCTTAGTTAATCACAGAGTGCTACAATAGACTATGTCTTTCATAGTCTGGCCAGTGGTATAAGGGATTCTCTGGAGTCAAAAGGGGATACCTATCAGCAAGTTGATTTAAAAATACCAGCAAGTTGATTAAAAAAAAAACTAGTTTCTAACCATTTCATAATTTTTTGAGAACTTAACTATAAATTGTCGACTTTAGTCATGGAGAATAGTTGGCAACAGATGAGATTTCTGTTTTGAAATCCTGACTGACATACCAATGATGACTGCATCATGCTGCTTTTCAGTTGTACTCTCACAAGTGGTCTTTGTTTGAATAAAATGGCTAGGAAAATAGGATTCCCCACCCCCCAAAAAAAGGAGGTTTAAAAATATCAAACGTATGGTATTACTTTCAACAGATTTAAAAGTAATTTTTCTAAAAGTATAATATACTGGTTAAGAACTTGGACCATTGACATAGGCTACCAAAGTTCAAATCTCTGTTGCTTCTAGCCATGGACAGATTACTTATATGCTTTCTTTGCTTTGTCTTTCCTTCTATAAAAGCAGTTAGTAATAAGGTCATTGCTAAGTACTGTTAATGATATAGAATTGGTTTATAATATAAACCAAGTAAACTCTATAGTGGAGGAAAAGGTTTACCTTGACCCTCTTAGGGTCTGTGACTGGATCTGAAAATTAAACCGACAAATATTAATAGGAGAAAAATGTATAGATTTATTGTAAGCTTTATTTGATATAGTAGTTTTCATAAGGAACTGAAGGCCCAAAGAAACAGACCTGTGTATTTTTATACTGTCTGATAAAGACTTCTGGAGGAATATGATAGGTTAAGGAGTATGGAAAAGGTGTATTAGACTGAGGAAAGAATAAGACCTACTTATTAAGATTTTTTTTTTTAGATTTATTTATTTATACAAGCACTGGGTACAGTTAGAAGCATGGGTGGGTGAGAGAATTCACTAGAGCCAGAGCGGGGAACAGAACAGACAGATGGACCGAAATACACTGCTGAGGGGAGCAGCGGGCGCGGCAGGAGAGGTCTGCGCGCCATGTGGGACCCTCGCTGGTGCCTGGGTATCGAACCAGTGCTGCCGAAGCTGCGGGCAGCTTTGCAGCCTAGTGCTCAACCGCTGCGCCACCGGGGGAGGCCCATTAGGATTCTTCTTAAAGTCCTTTTGTCCTCAGAGATAAAAGTACCCTCTTCCTCTGGGTATAGGGAGGACATCTTTCATTTAGGTTTCTGTGTCCTGTTCCTGAAAGGAAGTATGAGGTGTGGAGAAAGTCAGAGTGACCTTCTTGTTTCTGTCATTTTCTCAGACTTCTGCAGCTTAAAATACTCAGCATGTCAACAGGCCATATTTTGGAGTAGCATGTTCTATATCTCATCAACACCCCAGTGATCATGATTTATGAAAGAGAAAGAAAACAGTTGTGACTTATAGGTATTAAGTTCATCTGTCAATTTATTATAAAAATACCAGTGATCAGAATTTCTGTGGCATGTGTTTTCATCAGGACACCCATACACACACACACACACATACACACATGCATATGGTTATCAAACAAGTGAAAATAGAGCCCATCTGTGAATCATGATTCAGTACCATTTCTATGTCATTCCTCAGGTTGCCTACTCTAGCATAATACATTTCATACATCTTAATTTTTTTATATTTTGAGAAGTTTTTCAACTCTTAGAAGAAACTTTGTTATGTTATAGGGGAAAGACAGGTTTCAAGACAATATTTTATCTCAATTTAAATACATTATGTATTTGAATAAGAAAAGTTTGGGGGTATCTATACCAAGAATTAACATTAGGCATCTGTTTCTGTTCTCTAGTGTTTTTAATTTTCTTTTGAACTTTTCTGTATTTTCAGATTTTTCTGTAGTGAAATATTTGTCATTAAAAAAATAAAGGAATATCTTTTAATTGTAGATGTGAAAAACCTCTGACTCGATTACATGTCACTTATGAAGGTACTATAGAAGGAAATGGTCAAGGCATGCTACAGGTAGGTGAATCATGGCAGTACGTGGGTGTTTGAGACTTTGTCTTGTCAAATTTCTGACAGCAAAGGAAATTTGAAAAGCTGTTTATTTATCTTCTGCTGATTTAATGCAAAGAAGCGTGATAGAATAGAGAAAAACACCAAACAGATCATTTTGACAGCCTCGGTAATACTGTTATTTGCCAAGTACACTCTCTCTTTCTTACATGTGCCTTTAAAAAAAAAAACCTTTTGACAGAAAATCCTAAGATCTTGACAACATCAGACCTCTTGGTTCAGACATTGATTGTAGATTGACAGTGGAAGAAGTTCCCAGAGTACTGTCTTGAGAAGCTGTCACCAAGCAATTTTGTTCTTTTTTTTTAAAGGCCCTTGCTCTGCCCTAAACGATGACCAGCTGGAGATGTTTTTCTGCCACCAATCTTGTTTAGGTCTAGGAAGCAGACATCTAAAACTGATTGATAAGAAATTCCTCTCTCCCATATGTAACAGTTTCAGGCATGTGAAACAACTATGCTTGCTATTGTTTCCCTGTTTTAGAACAGATAATTTTGTCCATCTTTCAATCCTTATTATTAATCAGTGTTACTGCCTTTACTAGACAAAATATTTTTGGAACAGGGAGTTAACAAAGCTGTATATCTAGCTTTAAATTATAACAAACCTGAGACATGCTTTCTTTTTGCTTTATAGTGACCTTTTCTTTTTAAATCACTAATCAAAGACAATGTTAATGTTAAGTTCTTAGGTCACTTATAAGAGCATTATAAACTTAGTTTCCTTAGAGAGAAGCTTGTGTATTTCATTTTTTGTGGGAATAGCGGATTTTTTTTCTAGATTTTTATTTGATGTTAGAAACTAAGTGAAGCAGTTGCCTGAGAATGAACTAATTTGTTTGAATAACTTAATATTTATTATAAAAGAGCCGACTGGTTTGCATCTGGCTAGTTATTATACACTTTTGCTCTAGTGCCAAATGACCTGCAATTCTTTTTCACAATGGCATTTTATTTTTCAACATATTTTGTAATTTAAATCTTCAAAGAGGGGTCTCCCTGGTGGCACAGTTGGTTGAGCACCTCACTGTGAAGCTGTCCGCAGCCTCTGCAGCGTGGGTTCGATCATGGCTGGCCAGTGAGAGTCCCACATGGCGAAGCAGACCTCTCCTGTTGTGCCCGCTGCTCCCCTCAGCAGTGTATTTCATCAGTCTGCCTGTTCTGTTCCCCACTCTGTCTCTGGTGAATCCTCTCACCCTCCCATGCATCTGGCCTGTACCCTGGTTCTTGTATTTATAAATAGATGAATCTTAAAAAAAAAAAATCTTCAAAGAGGCAAACAATGTTTTATTTTAAATCATTTTCTCCTAATGATTCTTTGAGATTATAAACAAATATACTTAGGATAAGGAATTAACATTTTTCCTATCCTTGAATTTAAAAACTTTTAAAATTGTCTTCAATCAATAGCTTTTTTTCTATTTTAAACCATAATTTTGAAATGTGATTAAAATTTATTTCAAATGAATATCACTTTTTCCTCACATTTCCCGCTCCATGACTTTTTTTCCTACATTAAATTCTTCGATTAACTGAGGGAGTCTTAATACAGAGGAAATAAACAAAGCTACTGCTACTTAGCACCACAGGAATGCTGACCTTTCATTAGAATACAATTCTGCATAGAATTATTTAGCAACATTCAAAGCTGAGATTCTCCCCACCCTGGAATATATTATAGATGAAATGTGAGACCTCAGTCGATTAAAAGAATACAATAAAGGCTTCTAGCACTATTAATTGTACTCCACCCATGCCATGCATCCCCAGGAGATCAGGGAATATTGTATTGCAGTGCTGCAAAACCCTCTGTAGCATATAAATTACATTATGCTGAATGGCAACATAACAAAACTTTCTAGGAGTGTTATCATTTCTTTTCATCAAGTTATAATTCAGAAACTAAGTAATCTGAACAAATAGGTTTAAATTAAAGTGACTTAAAAAATAACTGCTTAAAAATAAAGACACACTCATATGCTCAGTTTTATGTATATTTCTCACCTATAATAGAGAGCCTTTTATTAACTTTTAAGTAGAAATTTTGATTTTCTAAAAGACCCCATGCTTTCAGAGGCATATTACATTTAGTGGATCTTTTGTTGAGGTAACATTGGTTTGCAGTAGTGTATATGATTCAGAGATACAGCTATTCCTTTACCTGAGTGTCAGCTAAATCTAGATAGAATGCCATGTCTCCCCTGTTTTCCCCATGTTCTGATTTTAGTTAATTGTTTCATTTGGAAAATATCAAGTATATACTGTTAGGATCGTTACTGATCATCACTCTGCCTGAATCCCATCTTAGCATGTTTTAGAACTGAAATAATGCCAGCAAGTTTAGTGTGCTTTCTCTTCATCTTATATAACTCATCTTTATTAATTGGCACTTGGGAATCTGATCATAGTGCTCCATGGAATGCTTATATATAGTTTTAAACCAAATTGGAAATACTAATTTAGTTGAATCTTTCTTGCTAAATTGGGTTTTCTGTCTTACTTCATTTTCCTCCATTTATTTATTTATTTGTTTGTTTATTTTTAAAGATTTATTTATGCATACAAGAGCTGGGGCACAGGCCAGAGGTGTGAGGGGTGAGAGGATTCACCAGAGACAGAGTGGGGAGCAGAATAGGCAGACTGACTGAAATACACTGCTGAGGGGAACAGTAGGCGAATCAGGAGAGGTCTGCTGCACCATGTGGTTAGCTCCCTGGCCTGGGATCGAACTCATGCTGCAGTGGCTGTGGACAGCTTCATAGGTTGTGTCTTCACCCTTTGTGCCACCAGGGAGGCCCCCTCCCTATATTTAAAAAAAAAGTTTGCTCATGCAGTTTGGTGTCCGAGGTTGCATTTAGAAGGAAGAAATTCTATCCCTTTACTTTTACACAGAAGAAAAAGGTTACTCAAAAAAGGTCAATCTCTAAACTTTTCAATTCTTTAAGGACAAATATTTAATTGTTATACTATATAAAATACACAAAGGGAAAGTGAATAGTGATTGGTGGGGAAATGACCTTGAAATCTTTCCATGTAAAGACCTCCCTTGACTTGTGGTCATTGGACCACAAATGTTTATAAGCAAGAGGCAATACAAATACATTGAGTCTTTTGCCTAAAAGCTCTATTTTCCAAGTTTCTTTTAAGGTTTTCTAGAATCCATATTGATATGCAGTGATACTAACTACAATGAGGTAAAAAGAATGTAGTCAACCACAATCTTTTTTCCCGGGAAGATTGATTAATAATTTGGGGGATCGATTTATATAGCAAAGAACAGGAAAATGACCACTTAAAAGGAGTACACTTCTTTATCATATATATAGGTATTTTAGACCATCTAACATGTCACATTTTCCCACAAAGGTGGACTTTGCAAACCGTTTTGTTGGTGGTGGTGTAACCAGTGCAGGACTTGTACAAGAAGAAATCCGCTTTTTGATCAATCCTGAATTGATTGTTTCACGACTCTTCACTGAAGTGCTGGATCACAATGAGTGTCTTATCATCACAGGTTAGTTTGGTGAAGTCTGGACAATGGAGTAGTTTCCCTATCTTGAATATCTATCGTGAAGTCTAGAGGCCACCCAGATAAAGCTTTTCTCTACAATGGACACTACCCCCTTATTTTTATTTATAAATTTATACTTGGTTTTTAGAAATTGTAATAGTTTTATTTTCATAATCTTGAATATGAACACTTTATCCCCCATCTTTTCCTTCTTTCTTGGCATTTTAATCTAGGAATAAGGATAAAAACTATTCAATTAGCTTCCAGTTTGGAATTTTACAATATCATACCTTAAAAAGAAGATAGTAATATGTCTTCGAGTGTGTATCCTAGCATTTTTGTTCCATTACATTTCCAAAGTGATCTGTTGTACTGCAGTCTGAAGACAGTATACTTAATTATAAAAAGCACATTTACAGTAATTGAAATCAGTACAACAGTGAACTTTATAGAAGAAAAATAAATCAGTAACCTTATATTCTTCCCAATCTCTATAATCCTAAGAGGAAAAAGTATGTTCATTTTAGTACCTTTCCTAGATTTAAGTTAATATAGAAGGAAGAGAGAAGGAAATGTAATAAATATATACTTTAGGTGTGCTATTAAGATTCAATTTTTTTTTCTTTTTTTTGATTTGATTTATTACTATGCCACAGTATATTCTTATGAATGTACAAATTAATGATTAACTCAAAGTTCTTAAGAAACTGTAAATTAGACACCATGGGAAAGTTAAGCCATTTATTTTTGAGTACCTGAAAGAACATGCCCACATAAAAGCCATAATTAGCCATCTATTGCTGATACTATTTTCTTTCTGCAGAAAGAGGATTTATTTTCTCTGAATTTTTCCTGCTTTGAATTTAGTCTAAGAAACTAAAGATTCAACAGTGTTGAATTTGGTTCAACAGTGTTGGATAATTTGGTCAATTGTTATTACAGTGTATACTCAACTAATTTATGACAAAACTGAAATGCTGAGGTCAAATCTTAAAGATTGCCCCAGATACATTTATAGGCAACCTTCAGGAGAAGATCTAAATTTCATTTCTTATGCTTTGCTTTCAAGTTTATTTCTGTCTTTTAATAATTTGATTATGATGTATGTACGTGTGGATCTCTTTCACTTTATCTTTTTTTTGGAATTCATTGAGCATCTTGAGTATTTAAATAAATTTGGGAAATTGTTGCCATTATTTCTTCAAATAATCTTTCCCTTTCTATCTCTACTTCTACAACTCCCATTATGCACATGTAGGTACATTTGATGGTGTGGTATCCCACTGATTTCTGAAGCTCTGCTTATTTTTCTACATTCTTACGTTCTCAGGCTGGTTAATCTCAATTGACCTGTATTCAAGTCTACTGATTCCCCCTTCGTCTGCTCTAATCTGTTTTTGAATCCCTCCAGTGAAATTTTTATTTTAGTTATTGCAGCAACTTCAGAATGTCTAAAGTTCTTTTTATAATAATACCTTTTATTGAGATTCTTTACTTGTGTTATTTTATTTATTGAGATTCTCTACTTGTGAGGCATTATTTTCATACTTTCATTTAGTTCTAAGACATAGTTTCCTTTAGGTTTTTTACTACATTTAAAATAATTTTTAAAGTATATGTTCTTTTTTATGTATGGTTACTAAAGTTTATGCTTGGTAGGATTAGTAACCATCTAATGATTGGTCAGAGATTTCCTTAGATACCCAGAATGAGTAAGTCTCACAGTCATTTTGCGCTGGCTCCAATGTGATAAAATAAAGCCAGCACTGTCAGGGAGTCAAATGATGACAATTCTCTGAAAATGGACTTTGAAGTAACTGCAGCTCTCCTTTGCCTACTCTTTTTTCACTCTCAGGCTGTTGATTTTTACTATGATTACAGACTGTTGGTGTTTGAGGCTACTTGGAGCTTGAAAGAGTAGAAAAGGAATAGGGCAAATTAAAATGCCACAAAATTTACAGCTTTTTCCAAGAATTAGCCCAATTTTTCTTTAATAAGCATTTCTAAAATTGCTGCAAGTCTTTGGTTAATTTACAAAGTTCAGAAAAAATTGATTCTCATAATTTTTGCTAATCTTACTGTTTTTATGAAGGCGAGAATTTGTTAATTGTTTGAGTTCATATAACAATATAAAAATGGGGACCACCCTGGTGGCCTTGGGGAGCTATCACCTCGATGGCCCACCATGATGGCCCACGACCACAGTCTGAGTTTTACCCCCAGCAGGGAGCTATCTACACGATGTAGCAGACTCTCCTGTCTCGCCTGCTGCTCTCTTTAACAGCATATTTAAGCAGATCCACCTTCTCTGCTCCCCTCTCTGTCTCTGGTGAGTCCTCTCACCCCTTGCACCTCTGGCTACACCCAGTTCTTCTATGCAAAAATAAATAAAATCTTTAAAAAAAGTAAGTAAAAAAGGAACTTTAGCAAAGGAATTTCCACTTGAGTAGAGCCTCAGCTATTTGAAGTTAATAACCTGAAGTATTTGATCCAAGAAGTCTGAGGTTGTCATACAAATTATACTGATATAGAAATAAAAAATTCTTTTATTCTCAGCATTGCCTCAACTCCCATAAGGATCATCTATTTGTATTGTTATTATGTATGCCGATTGGAAGGATGTAGTTGGAAAGGATTTGGGGAGAAGAGAGTACACAGACGTACCAAAAAAAAATTAAACTGTCATAAACCTGTTGTTAGGCAACTAAATACTCTCAATATCGATCTCATATTGTTTTAAGGAAGCTCTGAAGGCCTGAAATGTTACTATCTCCAGCATTTGGACATATCAAATAATACTTTAAAGGGTTTTAAAAGTTTTAGCACTTAACCTGGTTTTGAACTGAAGACTCAAAACAAAATATTCCATCAGTTTTTAAGATGAGGGGCCTCCCTGGTGGCACAGTGGTTGAGCGCTGGGTTGCGAAGCTGCCTGCAGCCTTTGCAGCCGGTTCGATCCCCGGCTGCTCCCCGGCCACCGGAGAAGGGTCCCACATGGCGCGCAGACCTCTCCTGCTGCCCGCTGCTCCCCTCAGCAGTGTACTTCGGTCCTTCTGCCTGCTCTGCTCCCCGTTCTGGCTCTGGTGAGTTCTCTCACCCTCCTGCGCTTCTGACTGTACCCAGTGCTTGTATAAATAAATAAATAAATCTTTTTAAAAAAAAATTTTTTTTAAGATGAATTTACATCCTTGAATTTAAAATGTTGGCAGAAGACTGGGCATTTAAACTCAAAACTAATTTGTTTCATTTGCTTCATTTTCTTGTACTAGGGAAGTAGTAAGTCTCTTGTCATCTACCATTAATGTTACTATAAAGGATATACAGGATATAAATGCCTTGAGAATACTAACAGGAAAACATTAGAATTTTTCTTTTTTTTAAATAGTCTGCCCTCAATCTAAAAGAGTATCCTTACTCTGTGGCTACATCTGGTCTCTAGCTTACCTGCATTCAATGTAAAACTGAATGGGAAAATTGCAGCTCTATGACTCACTTTCAGATCTGTAATTACCTCAGGCTAAGGACATCCGGGGTGACTTTTAACTCAGCATTTTTCCCCACATCCACTTAACTTTATTATAGTGCCTCCTAATTAATATCTGTGATGTGAAGTTCCCTTAATGGAAATGGCCATTTCATCATCTATTTGATGTTGGATTTCTGCCATCTCCCTTCTTTGGACACTCTTAACTATGCACTGCAATCTGTCTGCCTGATCAATTCCATTCCTTCAATGATGCATCTAGGCTCCGTGAGCTAATGGCTGTGACTATGCTGCCTGAATCTGTAGAAGAGTTTGAGAAATTGGAAATAAATTAAATTTATCATCATTGTAGGGCATCTGGTTGGTATCAGACTTTTAAATGAATATGAAACAGGTCATACAAACAGGCAAATACTTTTATCCAGACAGTGTTATTCCTCTATTTGCTGTCATCTTCCCTGGGGTAGCCATGAGTTAAAACCTTTCAGTAAAAGTCTAGATAGAGGGAAAGAATTAAAACTCCAATCTTCCATTTTTTCCCTTTCTGTTCCTCTACAACATCCAGCAAATCACTTCAATACCAAAGTGTGCTGCAGTGGACCTTGGAGATTGTTCTATTGTTTCTGTTTGGTGAGCACATAAAACTAATGCCTGCACATGAAACTTACTGAGCAGAATGTTTGTACATCTCACATATAACCTGCCCTTTACTGAATCAAAACATTCCAGACCATCGATCTTTATATCTTGTGTGAGTGTCCGTAGAACTGATAAAAGGACAAAAGTGTACACCATTATTTCTAGTACTGGGACTGTCTTACAGAGTCACACTATAGGAGCTGCCTGTCACTAACAACACAAACAGCCTATTGCTAACTAAATGACACCAGCTCATTGGGGATGATTTAAATTCATTTGAAGTTTGCCTTTTCTTAATTTTTATTAATCATGGAAATGAAGGCAAGAGTGTTCTGTCTGCTGCACCAATGTGTGAGTGTTAATAATAGAAAGTGGGTGGCTGGTTTTCATATAATCCTTTACAAGGGAACAACTCACTGGTCAATGCAATTTTTTTAAACCTTCAAATATTTTTTCCTGTGTTCATCACAAATTTTCATTTTTATGAAGAGGGTATTAGAATGTTTCTTACTACTAAATCCAAAAACTCATAAAGCTGTCCTTGAAAAGATTTTAATGGGTCTCTTCAAATTTTCGTCCTTTAGTGAAGATTGTCTTTGAACATGTGTCCCTAGACACAAAGTTCATTCAATCTTTTGTCTTGTTATTATTATTTGTTTTTGCATTTTCATCATAGTTTATAAGTGAATTTGAATTTAAAACAATTTAAGACCATCCATTTTTTAGAACTGATGGAGGACATAATTTTGAAAGATGTCTGCTTAGAAAAGGACCTAATTTGATTAGAGTGCAAGCATCTATATGTGCATTTTCTATTTCTCGTTCCTAAAATCTAACTTTGTTCTTCTTGGAAAAGAAGACTGAAACCATCCTAACTTGAAGTAGAATTATGATAATTGATATTTTTCCCAACTACTTTATTTTCAAGAAACAAGTGTTTGTTTTCATACTTAAGAGATCTAAGTAAACAGTAATTTTTTTTGGGGGGGGGATAAACAGGAAGAAATGAGTCTAGTCCACTGCAGGGCAGAAATTAGAAAAGAACAAGACTATTCCTGACATTTTATTTTGATAGACCAGATTGTTCATAAACTCCATATAAATGCAGTCATATATCTTTACCTCCCTTACGTTAAGTTTAATGACCCCAGTACTAGCTACTTTGTGGTTTTGAAAAATTTTAAATTCATCTTACTTGGTTTTCTAAGCAATTCCAGAAGGTAAACAAGATAAGATTTATTAACAGGCTTGATTTATAGATAAGATGAAGTCCAATGAGATTTATTATGTAAGGATTCACTTTGGGTACGTCATGTCTCCTAACATCAGTGTGGTGTTCTTTTTTAAAATCATGCCATACTGTCTTTGTAAATGTGAATTTTTTTATATGTGGCAGTTACATGATACCTTCAGATTAAATTTCTCTGTGCTTCTTAGCTTCAGTTAATATGGTGGTGTTCCTATTGTGCTTATTAACTATTATGCTTATGTGGCATACTTACTCAACTGCTTCCATATTCTTGCATTACAAGATGCAATAGTATAGACATAATATTAATTTATAATCCCTGCCCCGAAAAGCAGACATTGTGGTGAGGGAGTCACATTACATTTTTTAACAGCTTTATTGAGAAACAATTGACATATAATGAACTGTATTATATTTAAAGTATAAAGTTATATAAGTTTAGATACAATGGCTACGTATAATAAACTATCTTTTATGCATGTTTTTAATTTTTTTGTTGATGAGTTTTGAAAGTGCTTTATATATTTTGGATATAAGTCCTTTATCAATTATATGTAGCATATCTTTTCATTATCTTTTGAAGAACAGAAGTTTCTAATTTTTAAATCCAATTTATTAATTTGTTATTTTTGTTTTGATTATTATAACTTTATAATGATTCTTGAAATCATGCAGTGTGAGCCCTTCAACTTTATTCTTCAGAATTATTTTGGTGAATTTTAGAGTCAGTTTGTTAATATTTTAAAAAGCCTGCTGAGGGTCTCCCCGGTGGCGCAGCGGTTGAGCGCTGGGTTGCGAAGCTGCCTGCAGCCTATGCAGCACCGGTTCGATCCCCGGCTGCTCTCTGGCCACTGGAGGAGGGTCCCACATGGCGTGCAGACCTCTCTTGCCGCCCGCTGCTCCCCTCAGCAGTGTACTTCGGTCCTTCTGCCTGTTCTGCTCCTTGCTCTGGCTCTGGTGAATTCTCTCACCCTCCCACGCTTCTGACTGTACCCAGTGCTTGTATAAATAAATAAATAAATAAATAAATAAATAAATAAATAAATAAATAAATAAATAAATACTCTTAAAAAAAAAAAAAGCCTGCTGAATTTTAAGACTGCTTTGAAATCTATAAATCAGTTTGGGGAGAATTGACATATTGACTATGTTTAACTTTTTTTTTTTTTAAGGTTATTTATGCATATAAGAACTGGGGTACAGGCTAGAGGTGTGGGGGTTGAGAGGATTCACCAGAGACAGAGTGGGGAGCAGAACAGGCAGATTGATTGAAATACACTGCTGAGGGGAGCAGCAGGCGAGGTAGGAGAGGTCTGCTGCGCCATGTGCGTTGCTTCCTGGCCGGGGATCGAACTTGTGCTGCAATGGCTGCGGATAGCTTCACAGACTGTGTCTCAACCCCTTGCGCCACCAGGGAGGCCCCTATGTTTAACTTTTAACACATAAATGAGATGTCTCTTAGTCTTAAATTTCTCAGTAATATTTTATCGTTTTCCTCATATACTCTTTTTATATTTTCTCAGCTTTATTCATAAGTATTTCATATTTTTTGTTGCTATTGTAAATATATTTCTGAAATTTCAATTTATGATTGTTCATTGCTACTTTATAGAAGTAGAATTAACTTTCAGATTGCAATTTAATGTTATGTAAAAAAATTACCAATTTTATATCAAAATATTGTGGAACACAGAGAAGTAACAACCAACTCTCCTTATGGTGTCAAGAGAAGCTTCACTCAAGAAACATCATGAATATTGCAGTTGTTTTCTTGATTTGTGGCTAAGTATCTTACTGATAAATTTAGATGAATTTATAGGAATTAAGGTATAAATTATTTTTAAGAAATAGTATGCTAAGTAATGGACTAGAAACTATCACCAAGTCTACATCTTTTATAAGTTATGAAAATTTTTAATCATACACAAAATAGATTAGTATTTTTATAGCTTTACTTAATATTTAAATTATATTTCTGTGTATGAGAAGTTTTGCATTTATAGAGTTGCAAGAATAATACAATGAAGGTCCATATAAACTTACCTAGATTCACCAATTTACAACACATAAAACAGTATGTCTGGGGCCTCCCTGGTGGCGCAGCGGTTGAGCGCTGGGTTGCGAAGCTGCCCGCAGCCTCTGCGCACAGGTTCGATCCCCAGCTGCTCCCCGGCCACCGGAGGAGGGTCCCACATGGCGCGCAGACCTCTCCTGCCGCCTGCTGCTCCCCTCAGCAGTGTACTTCGGTCCTTCTGCCTGCTCTGCTCCCCGCTCTGGCTCTGGTGAATTCTCTCACCCTCCGGCGCTTCTGACTGTACCCAGTGCATGTACAAACGAACAAACAAATAAATAAATAAAAATACATGCCTCTTTAAAAAAAAAAAAAACAGTATGTCTGGTGCTACTAGAAATTCCCTTGCATCTTTTTCTGGTAAATCCCCATGTAAGCCCTAGAAATAATCACAATTTCTTTTTATTGCAAATTAGTTTTGTCTTTTTAAGGAATTTCATGTAAGTACACATAATATGCACTCTTTTACTCAGCATGTGTGATTTTCTTCTACTTTTTTTAGTATATCAGCATATCTTTCCTTTTCATTGCTAAGTAGCACTCCTTTGCATGATCATGCCACATGTTTTGCTTATTTCCTACCGATAGACACTTGGGTGTTTCCACTTTGAAGCTTGTGGTCATCTTTTTTTATATGAAACTTCACTAGGCTAGAGCCCCCAATTTTTCAGTCAAATGCTAATCTTAGGTGTTACTATAGAAATATTCTTTAGATATAATTAAAGTCCATACTGATTGACTTGAAAAAATGTAAGTTATCCTAGATGAGTCTGATTCACTCTCAGGCCTTAAGAGCACACCTGAGGCTGTACTGAAGAAGATATTCCTCTTGTGGGCAGCAGCCTCAGTCGGCCTGAAATGTCCAGTCTTCAGACTTGTCTAGTCAGCCTCCAAAATTTCATAAGTCACATCCTTGCACTGAATCTCTTAATATATATCTCCTAGTGGTTCTGGTTCTCAGCCTATATTCTTACCAATACAAGACAATTATGAATAAAGCTACTGTGAACATTCTTGTATGGTTTTTGTGGACATGCATTTTTAGTTCTGTTGGGTAAGTACCTAGGAGTGAGATTTCTAGGCCAAAGGATGAGTGTATATTTAGTTTTATAAGAAATTGCTAAATTGTTTTCTGAGAAAAAGTAAAGAAGATGTAAAGAAATAGAAAGATAGACAATGCTCATGGGTTAGTAGACTCAATGTTGGTACAATATTGCTTCTAGCAGACTTTTAAAAATAGTAATTGAGGTGACTGTAAAATTTATATGGAAATGCAAAGAACCGAGAATAGCCAAAAACTTTTTAAAAGGACAATTTTTTCCTTTATGTTCTACCAACAATAATGAGAATTCTACTTGTACTTCCTTGCCAACCTTTAGTGTTATTCTTTTCTATTTTACCCATTCTGTTGGCTATGTGATGGTACCTCTGCAGTTTTAAATGACAGCATATTTTGTTTTCTATTTTGAGACATTTAGTCACTAAATGATAAACATTTTGGTGGTGTTTAGAGGTATAACTTTTTTTTCTTTATGGGAAATAGTAGCGGGTCATTAAGACCAGTGGTTCTTTTTTTAATTGATATTTGTACAGTTATGTAAACTAATGGCAAATCAAGAAAACTTGGGGGGAGAATAAATTGGTATTTGCCAATAAGATAATTTCAGAAAGGAGGAATACGTTTATTGATAGACTCTTTTAGAAAGTACAGCTTTTTAAGAAAAAAGTCTTCAGAAAAATAACAGCAGATGATTCGTTTCAGGTACTGAACAGTACAGTGAATACACAGGCTATGCTGAAACATATCGTTGGGCTCGGAGCCATGAAGACAAGAGTGAAAGGTGAGTTCATTTCTTATTCTAGTATTGGCTTGGGCAAGAGCTAGTGGTACATTTTGCCTCCCATCTATATACTCTTATATCAGCGATTTGACTTTTTAAAAAAAATTCAGTAGTACAGGTTCTACTATACTATTTTTATTTATTTATTTTTAGGGTTGTTAGAATTTTCTTTTTCTTTTTTTTTTTTAAAGATTTATTTATTTATTCATACAAACACTGGGTACAGTCAGAAGCGCGGGAGGGTGAGAGAATTCACCAGAGCCAGAGTGGGGAGCAGAGCAGGCAGATGGACCAAAGTACACTGCTGAGGGGAGCAGTGGGCGGCAGGATAGATCTGAGCGCGCCATGTGGGACCCTCCTCCGGTGGCCGGGGAGCAGCTGGGGATCAAACCAGCGTCACGGAGGCTGCGGGCAGCTTCACAACCCAGCGCTCAACAGCTGTGCCACCGGGGAGGCCCTATACTATTTTTAAATACAATAGTATTTAAAAGAATAGCATCATCTCTGTATACCAAAAGGAAGAACCAGAAGTCTAAACCAAGAACTGGAAAAGCAGAAATCTACAATTTTTTACCTATCAGCTGCCATTTGTAAGAAGTCATTGGAGGCTAATTTCCAACTCCAAATTATTTGGAATTGGTTCCAATTAGAGCTTACAGTCTTTAGTATATTTAGTTATCCTTAATTTATCTGTGTTTTTAGGTAGATGGGGGAAACCTGTGTTGGAACAATTTGCCAAATGCCACAAAACAGTTGAATGCAGAGCCTACAGTGAACTTTGCTGCTACTGTTTTCTGTTTCTTACTGAAACATCATTTTGGCATTCTTGCTTCCACACTAAAATGGTTTACCAGAGATAAATTTTAACGAAATGGTGCCTGCAAGCCCTTATGTACATGCATATGTGTGTAGCTATAAAATGTACTCTTTGTAATATCTCCATTCTTTTGTCTCTTTTCCTTTGTTTTGTTAAAACTGTTTGCAACAGTGACCTGTGTGGATGCTTAATTTCTGATTATTATTTATAGGCTAACATGAAGATTTCTGTTTCTCTTTAGTGTGAGAAGTTGCTTTACCCATCAATGTGCAAATTTATAAAGAGATGGGATATTCAGAATTTCTTCTTTCCAAAGCTATCATCTGACCCAGTCCTTCCTGTTTCTACAAGCTATGTGTTATTGTCTGCTTTACTGTTGTCTTTTTAAAAATAGTTTTGTACCGTCAGTAATTGAGCACAGTAGGTAGAATGTTGTATTTAGTCATTACACATTTTTTATATAATGCTTCTGAAGATTATTTCCTTTTTTATTATATTACATTTTCTTTTTTATTATATTATATTTTCCTTGATAATATGTGGTAATGTTTCAAACCCAGTAACTTAGCACAGATCTTTCAAAGCAAAGGAGAAGTGAACATTTGTTGAGATACAAACACCATGTCTTTAGTATTTGAGGAAAACAAAGAAGTAAGTTCCTTTTGTTTACCCCCAAATCCTTTAATTTCTGAGACTGCCTGCAAATGGTATACCTGTTTAGACTATGTTATACTGTTGTTTGTCTTGATAGTTTTTAATTTTACTGTAATGCTTGGAATTCCACAATGTGTATGCCTTAGAATCTGAAACTAAAACGGTATTTTCTGCCCTCCTGTTTTGCTGAGACCTGTAACTACTGGATTGTTTGTTTTAATATTTTAGCCCCACCAAAGTCTAAGAAACCCGAACCCACAAGGGCTTTATTTTGTGAATGGCTTTCCCAGTTACTCATCTTCACCCCACCTCTGTCCTGCCCCAGGGATGACTGGCAGCGGCGCGGCACTGAAATCGTCGCCATTGATGCTCTTCACTTCAGACGCTACCTCGACCAGTTTGTGCCTGAGAAAATCAGACGCGAGCTCAACAAGGCCAGTAACCTTATTTCTTAGTTCATCTGCCAACTGTCATCTATTTACTGCCATTTTATTAATGCTGAAATTAATGCTTTCTGGTAATTCTTGCAGTGTCAGTATGTCTGCCCACAGCTTTCCTGATTTAATGGCTCTGTCAGCTTGTACAAGATGTACTTTCCATTTCGTAATTGTTTGATTACCGATGCCAGAGAGACTGTTTCTTGATATTAAGCTCCACACATGCATTTATCTCATCAAGTACTTATAACTGCCTTGAAACATTATTAGTGTAAAGCCATATAGAATTGAATAAGCCCTCAAAATTTTTTTCAGACTTGCCCAGTGACATTTTTTCTACAAAGTAGGTTATCAGGATTAAAACAAATAAATAATAAAAAAGTCAAATTAATATTGTTTTATTACAGTAAGAGTCACATGTAAATTGTTTATTGATTTGGTAATTTGACACATTTATGATGAAATCTGATTTTCTGTGATGCTTAGTGCTATCTTCTAGAATCATTTTCTTTTTTATTATATTACAAAAATATAAAAATAAACAATATCCATTGCTAGTTCAAATTTTCACTACTGTTAAGCGTAAGTAATTTCTATCATACAGTAGAGTGCTGAATCTACTCTCTAAATTTAGAGCCTTTCTAAAACAATAAAGATTGTCTTTAGTTCCTCAAATTATTCTCATAGCTGAGAAGACTAACTTAATTCTTTAACTCCCATGAGTAGGATTTGGTTATGAGATTGTTTATTAAGATAATGAGGTTTGTAGTTTTGAATGGCTGCACATGTGCCAATGCCTACAAGACTTTCCATAATGACAGAAAGCTGAGTATACCATTGCAGGGGGGTATACCATTCAGGAGGGCTCTTAGATTGGCAAGTTTGTCATCTTCCTATCTTTTCCCTGGGTCTAACCACAGGAATGGTCTCTCTGTGGTGCTCGTCTTAGCTCAGATTAACTGACTTGCCTTTCATATTGTTAGTAAAATAAACAACCAAATTATACAGAAAGGCTTTTACTACATTTACAACTTAGTAGATATTTTGAATATAATCATATATATTATCTAATACCCTAATCTGTTTGGCAATTAATAGATTATATAATTGTGGGTTTTTTTTAATGTTTAGGGTTCTCAAAGGAATCTCAATGAGAGTTTGAAGAGTAAATGCACTCTTTTCCAAAGTTGAGCTTATGTAAGAAATATCGTGTGGTGGTGGTGGTGTTTTTTAAATAATTCTTCAGAAAATAAAACTGGTTTTCATTTTGTTTTGGTATATCAACAAAGAATATCTTTTTATATTATATATTCTATTTATATTTTGTATTCTTTTCTCCTTAATTTTACAAACACTGTATGTGATTCAGAGGTAAAGGGGTGAGAGGATTCACCAAAGACAAAGTGGGGGGCAGAAAAGGCAGACTGACTGAAATACACTGCTGAGGGGAGCAGCGGGCTAAACAGGAGAAGTCTGCTGAACCATGTGGGTCAGCTCCCTGGCCTGGCATCAAACTCGTGCTGCTGTGACTGCAGGTAGATTCATAGTGCTGAGACTTAACCCTTTGCGCCACCAGGGAGGCCCAGGAATCTTAATTCTACAGACAGATTTCTAGGGTTACTGATTTGGTTTTGATAACCCTTCATTTTGTTTCTTTATATTCCATGTATAAGTGAAACCATGCAATATATGTCTTTATCCTCCTGATTTACTTTGTTTAGCACACTGCCTTGTTATTCTGAAAAATATTTGTAAAATAAATTGGTCAATGACTGATGAAATTTCTTAAATACTATTATATTTTTATCATAAATATACTATCTGATATATTTATAAATATAGATATAAATATACTATCTGAAATCACCCAAAATGCTATAAATTTATGTACATTCTCTAAATATATGAAAGTGCTAAATAAAGTCCATTAAGTTCAGTGTCAAATCAGATGTGGAGCAAATGAAACCATATGAAGAAGATGGGTTGAGTTTTAATGGTTAGTAATATAATTATATATTTGTTTTCAATTTGCCATTATTTATGTCAATGTGCAATAAAGTCTAATTTATATTTCATAAAGATTCTTTTCAGTCAAATGCTGGTAGAATTTTTTTAGTTATACAAGTAACAATAATAAATTAGTATTAAAAATTATTGGTTTCTATAAGCTAGGCACCTAGCATTTTTAATGGGATATCTGGTTTAAACTTAACCACCCCAGGGCTGCTAGATAATGTCAAACCTCAATTTAGAGATAGTGAACTGAGCCTCAGGAAGCTCAGTAACTTGACCCAGGTCACACAGATAGGTAGTGACAAAGTTAGGACTTGAATTCAGGTTCCCCTGACTTTATATAACTTTTTAGAAATATAAATCTTCCCCCATAGAGGCTACTATAACTAGATCTGTCTTTCCACACTTTTTACCTGTTGCAATCTGAAATCATTAAAAACATTCCCTGCATTTGGTTTACACATTATCTCCTACAAGCATGTGCCTGTGTTACCTCTCCTCTTTCTTTCTTTAATCAGTCTGAAACCATGAGCAAGCTGCCGGTTGAATGCTTTTCTCAATATCCTTTTCTTGATAGACTTTTTCAAGGAAAATGGAGGATTTTCCTCCCAATGTATTTATTAAATTCAGGAGACAAGGAAATATCACAGATTCCTACCACAGACAAGGAAATAGCCCAACACATGGGCTAACATTGAGAAAGCATCTACTTCGGTGCCTGGTACAAAGGAACACATTAGGTAAATGTGTGTTCTTTTAGATCACTGCAGTATTCTAAAACATTTGCTCTAATTCTTTCATTGAAAAAGAAGAAAGCAGTAAATGATGTTGTTAAATGTCATTGAAAACTTAATTAGAAACTATTCTAAATAACTTTGGACTTTTTAAATTAAAACATTCCATCATTTATTAGATACATTTGCCTTTTTAAAAAGTTATACATTTTAGTAAAAGCAACAGGGAATTTTACATAAACTGACAGCACAACTTGGAGAGAATATTAAGTTAAATGTTTTACATCTCATTGTGTTTTATAACCATGGGTTCAAAGCCAAAGTCTATACTAAATCACATTAGAGATGACTTGCACAATTCTATCATTTTTTAATGCCAGAAAGAAAGTAGGCAAGAATAGAAAAACTCTATTTTTCTAAATGAAACAATAGAGCATAAGACCTATTTCACCATTGGAATTCAATGTGAATCTCTGAACTCTAGGGGCCTGTATGCAAGGTTTTTTTTTTTTTTTTTTTTTTTTTTTGTGGGACCCTCGCTGGTGGCCAGGGATCGAACTGGTGCTGCAGAGACTGCAGAGGCTGCGGGCAGCCTCGCAACGCAGCGCTCAACCACTGCGCCACCAGGGGAGGCCCCCTGTTTGCTACTTTTAAGTATTACTTACCAGATAATAATTAAAAGGGCAGCCCCACATAGTGCTTTATTAGCTTTGGAAACTATGTCATCCATGCTTCACCTATCATTTTTGAACCCACATTGTGACTTGCAAGTGGAGTTGGTTTTTTAAAGGAAGAAATCAGTCCCCCTTTATGTAACTAATACTGTGAAACAGTATTTAATCCTGTGAGAGATTATCTGGGTGACATTTTAGAGGAAAATTACCTTTGTGGTCGAAAAGATTTATCACTCTAGCTTGCAAAAGTGGCAGATAGCTCAGCAATGGAAGAAGAAAGAAGTCATCTGTGAAAAGTTGTATTTAGCCATGTTAGACTCACTCAGGTAAGGTAAGTAATGAATATGTTTTGTAGACGCTTCTGGATCAGAAACTTTAACAGTGAGGAGACTACCCCAGCAAGAAATCATTTAGCTTTTAAAAAATTGATTTGTTTATTGTTTCTTTATTGTTAACCATTACCAATTTTGGAGGGTGTTTATTATGAAACCAGATTAACAAAGCCAATCAATACTTGCTATTTATGTTTCTTAGTCTGGTGTCTGATCATTTATAATCTTAAAATACGTATCACTTTACTTTTCAGGAATAGTAGTTCAAAATATATCATAGTAGTTTTTCCCTACAGTCTCTCAGTAGATAGAATCAGAATAACTTTAGCGATACCTAATCGAATCTTTGATTTCATACATGAGGAAACTAAGGTCTTTCATTTCATATTACATTTTTAAAAAGCAAAATCAATTTACTACTTTTACCATTATTTTAAAGACAAAGGTGCCATGTAATACACTACCTTTCAAATGTTTGTTTTCATTTTGTAGGCCTTTCCACAGGAATAGTTTCATATAAATGTGTTTAAAGTTACCTATAATTTTCTATTTTACCTATTTAATGTATCCATTAAATAATGTATCCAATATTTTTCATACTTTCTAATTATCTTCATAATAAAATAGTTAATGGCTATAAAATTGGTTGGATTGATATAATTTGACTTAACTACTATTTTTGAACAACTATAGCTTTGTACAATTGCTATTTAACCAATAATAAGAAATTTACAAAGGAAGAAATTTCACAAAATTATTAGGAAGTCTAAGATAGTTTCCAGACAATATTATTTTATTCTCTTCCAAATGATTCTTAAGAACTTTTTTATATTGTTTGTTTTAAAAATGACAATATTCTAAAATCTTGGAAAAATAGTATTAGTACCATCTATGTATTAAGTTGAGTATATTTAAATAAGCAGCTCTTTAGGAACAATAATTGTTAAATTATTGATCTAGCAAATAGTATAATGTATAATTTACATATTAATGAAATATATATTTTAATTATATCTGTTTGGGCCTGCTAAAATTGACAGTGAGGCCTGAGTTCTAACTTAAATGTGTATGTTGTGTACATGTATGCATGGATATTTATGATATACTGTTCCCCTGAGTATTGTGTATTTTCTGGGCCTGTAGGTTTTTACAACTGTTTTCTTTGCAATTTCTTTGCTTCATTCTTTCATATCTATCTTTACCTTTTTACCCGGTTGGGGCTAGTTTTTAACTCTAGATACCAGTATTTCCTCTTGCTTCTCAAAGCTCCTTTATGTAAATATCAGGATTTCAAAAGTACTGTTATCATCCCTCTTCTTCCCTTCCCATCAAAACTTACATTCTGAGATATAAGTAAGCAGTCATTGATATCTTGTACTTACTGTGCTGAGGTGCAAATGCTTCTTCCCTTTTTTCTTCCTTTAAAGTTGTTTATTAGTAACAGTAAATTCCTTTGTCATTGGTGAATGTGAAGTCAGAATGTGGCTAGTAGTTACTTTCTTTTACTCTTACTATTCTGATTAATCTTAGTGCTCTGGCTCTGGATGGAGAAAAGTAAAGTATTTGCCAGTGTGGAACTCTTGAGAACTCCTAGTACCTTCTCTTATGAAGTGAGAACTTGGCAACTCTTTTGAGGTCTCTATCTTTATCTTGTTTTTGTTTTTGTTTTTTAAGATTTATTTATTTATTTATACAAGAACTGGGGTACAGTCCAGATGCACTGGAGGGTGAGAGGATTCACTGGAGATAGAGCGGGGAACAGAACAGGCAGACTGACGAAATACACTGCTGAAGGGAGCAGTGGGCGAGACAGGAGAGGTGTGCCATACCATGTGGGACCCTCGCTGGCCGGCCAGCCAGGATCGAACTGGCACTGCGGAGGCTGTGGACAGCTTCACAGCACTACGCTCAACTGCCTGCTCAAGATAAAGAGGGGAGACCCCTCTTTATCTTGTTTTTTACAAAAGGATTTCAATTTTAACTGTAAAGGAAATGATACCTTGATTAATGGGCCTGCCCTGGTCTCCAGTATTTGAGGGATCTTTCTCCTCACTGGAGAGAGGAAGAACCCTTTAAAGGGGACTCAGAAGAGCTTGCTTCTTCTTCTTCTTCTTTTTTAAAGATTTATTTATTTATGCATACAAGGACTAGGGTGTAAGCCAGAGGTATAGGGGGGTGAGAGGACTCACCAGAGAGAGTGGGGAGCAGAACAGGCAGATCCACTGAAATACAGTGCTGAGAGGAGCAGTGGGCGAGGCAGGAGAGGTCTGCTGTACCATGTGGATTGCTCCCTCGCAGGGATCTATCTCATGCTGCAGTGGCTGGCGATAACTTGACAGCGCTGTGTTTAATCCCTGAGCCACCAGGGAGACCCGGAGCTTGCTTCTTATTTCGAACCTTGGAAATGCTTGCTTGTATCAGAATAAGAGAATTTAAAAAAAATTTTTTTTTAAGATTTATTTATTTATGCATACAAGAGCTGGGGTATAGGCCAGAGGTGTAGGGGGTGAGAGGACTCACCAGAGACAGAGTGGGGAACAGAAAAGGCAGATTGACTGAAATACACTGCTGAGAGGAACAGCACAGGAGAGGTCTACTTTGCCATGTGGGTTGCTCCCTGGCTGGCCGGGGATTGGACTTGTGCTGCAAAGGTTGCAGATTGCTTCATAGTGTGGTGCTTAACCCCTTGTGCCACCAGGGAGGCCCCAGAATAACAGAATTTTGTATTTGATCAGTGTAAGCATATGCTTTACACTAATTGTATTCATTTTTTAAAGTTTCATTTGATTTTATTTAATCCAAACATCAAGTGTAGATTAAATTGAGTTTTGTAGTTTGGTTTTATTATGGTTGTTTTTCAAGATAGGTTTTTTTAAAATTAATACTTTACATTAGATTTTGTTTTAAATTCTAATATTAGGCTTTAATTTCACTAACCTAGTTTTGCTCACCAAAGTAAAGTTAGCCCAGATATGTAGAGACATTAGTGAGGAAAGACTAGAGCCATTCTGACATAATAAAACAAAGACATGAAATAAAAAACTAAGAAATCTTTCTCTTCATTTAGGCATGTTAGGAGAATTTGACAGGAAGCCAGTGGCCAAATTAATGTCTTTTCTGATAGAGTTTGTTCTTCCTCTTGTTGGCATAAAAGCAGAGACTCTATATCTGTCAAGAACCTGGTCAAAAAAAATTGATCTCTTTGATATTTTTTACCTGAAAGAGATTTTCAGAAGCTCCATACATCTGATTATACAGGTAATTTGTGAGTTCTACTGTAAGCTCTGTACCACAGCATTGAATAATAGTCTGGTACCAATTTATAATTAATATCTGTCAGGATTTACAACCTAGGAGGGGGTGAAAGGAATAGCCTTGTTAATCTATCTAGATATATGTAAAATAAATTTTTATACCTTTATGAAAAGTTCAGAGAGCAATTTACTATATTTCTCTGCTTGAATTTCTTAGAGGTACCTTCCTTTATCCTTGGTTTTTCTCTGGGAACAATTTGTCACAGATCATTATTTTTATTTTATTTACTAGTATATATAAGCTATAATTTAGGCTTTGTTTGGTACTTGAGAGAACCCAGGGGAGATTTGCTTTGCTATTATATCAAACCCCTTAATATAGTGTGATAGTTTCAGAAAACTAAGAACCCTTAGGAGGCAGAAAGACCAACTAGGCTGACAGCAAGGAAATGGAAATCAGAAACTCTGGGACCTTAAACTGCAGCCTTCCCATATGCAAAAGGAGCTGTTCATTTAATTAATACTTAGCTAGCATCCTTGGGATAGATTGTGCTTTTCTCAGGTTACTGGCAAATTTTTCAATATTCTAGCTTAGAGATGTAAAACTAGAGAATCTTAGAACTGGAAGGGATCTTCAAAGTTATTTTGTAACCAGTTGTAGGACTCTCATTTATACATAGTTGCTTGCTCGTTAATAAGCATTTCAGTGCCAAGAAGCATATTTAAAAGTTAATCACAGTTATTAATCTAGTCCTAGTAATTCAGAAAGAAAGAGTGCTGAGGTAACATAATAGTAGTGACTCTTAACTGAAAAAATGGGGATCAAAAGTCTTTAAAGAAAACAGTGCCTTTTCCCCTTTGTTTTTTGGTAGTTTTTAATTGGGATCCCATCAGTTCTTGAAATAAAGCTATATTTCTTTGTTAGTTTGAATCATGAAAAGAATCTGAAATCTGTTTTAGTTTAAGGACTTTGATTTGCCCAGCATCAAAACAAATAAGTATTAGAATTGATTATTTTTTATTTTCTTCCTTGTACAATCCCAGGATTTTCTGTTCTTCCCTCTACTTTGACCCCTAAGACAAAAGAGATAACTATAAGTTATCTATGAGTGTCTGTCCATTCATGTCTGTGATATGTCTTTTGTCCTGCAGGCTTACTGTGGATTTCTCCGTCCTGGAGTTTCTTCAGAAAATCTTTCTGCAGTGGCCACAGGAAATTGGGGCTGTGGTGCTTTTGGGGGTGATGCTAGATTAAAAGGTGAGTGAATGCATTCTTTTAAGTAGGAGAATAACATTCTGATTTGGAGAAAGGTTAGTATTTCAAACCAGGTTTCTAGTGTCCTATTGTTATGGGGCAACCCCGGACATCCTTTTCCCCCTAACACTATCATAATAAGAGACCACAAAGATCTAAGAGAAAAAGAATATTTGAAACCATTTTCTTCTTACTGTTTTTAAAGGAATTTTTGTTTTTGTTTACTACTTACCAACAATGGTTACTTATCTCTTTGATCTACCAGAAATACTTGAATATAAAAAGGGAAGAAAGGGATAAGATTTTCAAACCAAGGAATCCACTCAAACACTTGTCTTCACAGGAGCTGATTTTCATTGACAGAGCTATTTCATTGACTCAGTTGTTCACCAAACTTAGGGGGTATCTGCCTGCCCTGGGCACTGGAGTAGCCTCTGAAAATACAAAGGCAAATAAATGAGATGTGGTTCCTGCTTTTGGAGTTCACAGTCTAGCATATGGGAGAGGGGTACAGACAAATGTAGCACACAATAATGAGTGCTTTAATAGAAGCACACAGTGTGTGGGTGTATAACCTGGGAGAACTACATAATTGTCACAGATAAGGAGACATTTGGATAACCAAGAAAACATATTTCTGATATTTTATTTTTTATGGTAGAAAAAATCATATCTGATCAACAAATCTATTGATTACTTACCAAATTATGATATTTGCTTTACTCTCAAAATTATCAGTTATAGAAAATAGTATTATAACTTAGGCTGGTTACTGTTCTGTGTGAGCCCAATTTGATCCCAGCTAGTGCTGCAGTACAATCCTGACACTAACTTCCTGGAGTTAGTGCAGACCCCACAGGTTAAGGGCAAAGTTCTCCACCTGATAACCTATATACCATCCAGCCTCAATTTTCAGGGTGAAGATTTTTAAGGCTACCCATACCCATACTTTTGACCAACTGGTAACCAACTGGGAGATTCCCACAACCCCCCTCTGGTTTGATAATTCACTAGAAAGACTCACAGAACTCAGGAAAGTGTTACTAGTTTTATTATGAAGGATATTCATCAGGTGGTATCTAGGAAGGGATATAGAGCTTCCATGTCCTCTTCCTATGGTGTCAGGGAACATTAGTTTCCCAGCACATCAATTTGTTTGCTAACCATGAAGCTCCACTGACCTTTGGTATCCAGAGTTTTTACTTTTTGAAAATTTTTAGAAGAACTGGGGTATAGGCTGACAGGGGAGGGATGGTCTGGGCAGTGAGAGGATTCACCAGAGACACAGTGGGGCACAGTGCAGGCAGATTTATTGAAATATACACTGCTGAGGGGAACAAGCAAGTGAGACAGTAGAGATCTGATGCACCATATGTGGGTTAGCTCCTTACTTGGGGATTGAACTCAGGCTGCAGGCGTGTTAGTTCTGAGACTTAACCCCTAGGGAGACTTAACAACTAGGGAGACCCAGTGTCCAGAGTTTTTAATGGGGTCACATTTCATAGACATCATTTATTAAATTATTGGGCAGTTCTTTGAGCTTAACCTCTAGCCCTTCCTCCACTCCCTGTAGGTCAGTGACTAAGAAATTGGGGGTCATTAGCATAACAAAGACAGTACCACTCAGGAAATTCCATGAGTATTTCAAGTGGAAAAAAAAGAAGCTTTTACCTGGAAGCCAGGACATAGACCAGGCAAATTCCTTGTACCAGTTATCAAAGTCATAAGAAAACAATCAAAGTAAACATGAAACAAATAGCTGACCATGATGGCCAAACTAGATATAGATAAAGTCCATCTCAGGAATAGAATAGTTGAATCTCCTAATTTATGAGTGTTATTTTTGTAAAAGTGATTCATTGACAATTGGTTTCTTTATTATATCTGTTATATGTAATTATTTTCTTTGGGTTAAATCCTAGAAGTAAGATGAATGATACAAAGTATACCTGTGCTTTATACTTTATATTTTGGTATTTGTTGCAAATTGTACTTCTGAAAGGCTGTGTCAACTTACATTGTTTTCCTTGCATGAGCAACTTCACTAACTGGTATTTTGTCAGTCTTTAATTTCTCTTAGAGTCAACTGTTTTCATATGTTTATTTACCATTTTTTATTTTATGAATTGCTTTTTCACATCTTCTCCCATTGTATCTCTTAAGAAGGAGTTTTGATTTTTCATTGTCTGGTAGAATCTCTTTATAGATTAACAAATATTATTTAACTGTCATCATTTGCAGATAGTTTTCTCCATCTTAAAAAATGTATTTCAGCCTATTGGGTTATTGTTGTATTTTTTTGTGGCATGCTTAGAAAAGTCTTCCCTGTCTCCTTCATTCTAAAGATTTTCACAGACATTTTCTTCATCTTCAAAGCCAAAAGCTACTTGGTGCTATTTTCAGTGTTTTAAAAGTCTATAGAAGAATTTCTGGGTTTTATTTTATGAAATTCTTTATCATCCTGAATTTGTTTGAGGAAACCTGTTTTTCACTCTGGGCTTATTGATCTTATGACAGACAGTTTTTTTCTGTTTTTCTCTTAAGTAAAATAAATGAGTAGATTTATATCATCAATCCAGAAACCAGGCCTGCCATAAGCCTTGGTCATTTGTGATAGACAATTTGGGAAGCTTTATAAATGTGCTCGTTTCTTTCCTTTTCTTTATGGCATAAAAGCTTTTCAGACTGCAGCTTTGCTTCCTCTGGTGGTTAACTATTAAGAGTAATATTCAAAGATTTTCATTATGTAATTTATTTTCTTAGTTATCAATATTTAAACTTGGGTTGACTTGACTGCCTCCAACCCTTCATTTGCTTGAATAATCATTTAAAAATTAGACGTAATCATAGCATCCTTTAGGACGCTATGGCACATCTACATAATGAAATATTAGGCAGACATTTAAAAACTTGTAGGAGTATATCTGCTGACAAGGAAGATTATTTTAGAATACTATCAAATGGAAGAAATTGTACAATATATACCATAAAAACCATTTTGAAGTTAAATTATGAATATGAACTATCACATGCAAATTTGAGATTCTTTTTGTGTTTATGTGCAAAGATTGACTATGGTTATCCCTACATGAGTGATATTTATGTTCTTTATTTTCTTCATAATCTATATGTTCCTATTGTGAGGATATATTATTTTTGGAACAAAAAAGATCTTATCAAAATTTTTTATAGGAGAATGTGAACATGTATCAATCCTTAAACTTATATTTCCTTTATTAAAAATAGGACTAAATATTTTTAATATATTTGTTGCCCAGTTGTTCCTGAGTTTTGCAATTTATAATAACTTAATTTTGAACTGCTTTCATTTGTACATTATGCTCACAACTATTAAGAGAATATTTTTCTATATTCTTTCAAAAGACTGTTAGATTCTATAACTCTTAGATCAGACTCTATATCCTGCTGATTTTATGTTTATGAACAAAGAAAAACTTATCAAAAATTTTCATATTGGAGAATATGACCATGGTGAAGGAATTGAGTGTACTCAAAAGTTCTTTCTGCTGTGTTTTTATCCATTTCTCCTTGCATTTCTGTCAGTGTTTATTCTTTATACATTTCCATACTGTGTTATGTGACTTATGAAAGATTGTGCCATTGCTAGTTTATCGTAATTAAGAGGTATCTTGATGTTATGTTCCTGTCCTTTTTCTTTTCTAGCCTTATTCTCTACCTAAAAGTGGCTTGTGAATAATATATGCTCAGTTTATTTCTATTTAACAAATATATGCAACAACCCATGTGCCTTTCATTATTCTAGGGTTTTTGCACATTTCTGGCTAATACCTTGTGTTCCTATAAGATACCACTCCAGTACTAATTATTCCTCTAAGGTATTCTTCACTCCACCTCCCCAACCCCAAAATTCTGTACTAGGATTCTTTCAGTTGCACAAAACATTAATGTAGTTTATCACTTAAGCCTGAAAGTAGATTATTGGCTGATGTGGATGAGAACAGTTCGAGTTGGCTTTAGGGAAGACTGGATCCTAGGATCAGATACTCGTGTATATGTGTGTGTTCCTCTCCTTCATGTTTCTCTCAAAATGATGGCCTCATTCTCTAATTCCATATGTTATCTCTGCACTGGAGAAACCAGAACCAAATTGTTTCAGAATTATAGTATTGTAGCTGAGTAATCCTCGAGGAAAGGACTCCTTAAATTCTGAGGAAATAGTCTAATTGGACCAACTTAGATCACTTTCCTATCCCTTGTGCCAAATCATTATATCAAGGAGTCAGTAAACACTGGACATATCCCATCCCCTCATTGAGGCTTACGGGGATTTACAGTTGATTTTTAATGTATATTTCTATCAAGTTAAAGATTTTCTGAGATGTAGAAAATTTTCATAAATTTTTATAAACACCTTTTTTTCATACCTTGTGTCTCGTGTATATCAAATATAAGGTCTTTGCGTTGTTTAACTGTTTTAGAATCAAGATAGCTAAAGTCCAGAAAAAACTCTGATCTAGAAAAGCTTAGAACCTGGACAACACTGATAGATCATGTTCTGTCATGCTATCCTAGGCCTACCCTGTCCCCTTTGACTAGGATTTCTGGGAAAAATGGTCATGAAAGTGGGGAAGGGCTACTATCAACAAAGCATAGAAGGTAGAGGAATATAATTATGGGCCAGATCACCTCAATTTGTCTACTATAAGTTCCTTGTCATTTCTGTATTTCTCTCTAAGCCTTGCTTCTACATAACTTAGTAAGGTTACTCCTTTCTTAACATTTCTACGATATCATACTCTTGTATGGACTCAGTGCCTAGAATGGGGTTGTATGTGATACTGAATATTCAAGTTGTCTGGAGTGAGTGGCTGATTATTATTAGTATCTGGGAGATGCTGCTAAGTTAGTGGGTCTGGAAAATGACTTTGGGGAATTTTTAATAAATTGTCTTAGAGTTGCTGGTAATCAGCCAGATATAAGGATCACAGCATTTTCTCCTTTAGTTTGCATATTCTTCAATTTGTAGCCCCATTTTTTTAAAGATTAATTTATTTATGCATACAAGAACTGGGGTACAGGCCAGATGTGCGGAGGGTGAGAGGATTCACCAGAGACAGAGTGCGGAGCAGAACAGGCAGACGGACTGAAATACAATGCTGAGGGGAGCAGTGGGCGAGACAGAAGTCTGCACCATATGGGTTGCTCCCTGGCCTGCTGGGGGATTGAACCCGTGCTGCAGAGGCTGCAGATTGCTTCATAGTGTGGTGCTTAACTCCTTGCGCCACCAGGGAGGCACTGTAGCCCCATTTTTAAGATGAGGAACCAAGGTTTGTAGAGAGGTTCAAACGCCTGCCCAAAGAAAGAGAAAGCTAGTAAATGTCAGACTCAAACTTGGAAGAAATTCTGGCTGGCATATGAAAAGTTTGCTTGAGTGAAGCAGAATGACTTGGCAAGGCAGCTTTGCCATTGTGACAAAATGGGCCAGGACACATTTCTTTCAGTTAGACTCCAGAATCCATATCTTAGCTCCTCTGCATTTTGGCATTGTGACTTTAGACAAATTATTTAGGCTTTATTTTTTCATTTTCAAAAAGGAAATATTTATTCCGTTTTTATAAGTTAACCCTTATAAACCTTGAGTTAGTGCCTATAAAGCTACTAGAATAGAGTTCAGCACACTGTCAGCCCATTGTTAGTTGTTTCCTGTGGTATAAGTCTTAATCATTTCATTCAGTTTTTGTTGGTTTATTTGTTGCAAGAGGGCACTGTGAACTGTTTTTGATGTTATTCATATTTATTTGTATTTCTTTGTAGCTTAACATTGATGCCAAAAAGATAATTAAAACCAGACTCCCTGAAGGTTAATTTAAGTTATTGTTTTGGAATGTATTTGTGCTTGAAGTTAGAATTTGATGTTTTTATATCATTCTTGGAGTCAGTCCACATACCCTATTAGAATTGTGACTTATTATTTACCTAAGTTTTACTATATGAAGGTTCACTTAAATCATAAGACATAATTCCCTGAATTTGCAAAGGTGTTGGGAATGTTGTAGAGAGTGAGGTCTGTAGATGGTTCTGTTTATATATATTTTTTAATTTTTTAAGATTGATTTATTTATTTATACAAGCACTGGGTACAGTCAGAAGTGCAGGAGGGTGAGAGAATTCACCAGAGCCAGAGCGGGGTGCTGAACAGGCAGAAGGACCGAAGGACACTGCTGAGGGGAGCAGCGGGCGGCAGGAGAGGTCTGCGCGCCATGTGGGACCCTCCTCCTGTGGCCAGGTTTGCAGCCGGGGATTGAACCAGCGCCGCAGAGGCTGCGGGCAGTTTCACAGCCCAGCGCTCAACCGCTGCGCCACCGGGGAGGCCCTGTAGATGGTTCTGTTTAAAATATTTTGTCAGGGGCTTCCCGGTGCCGCAGTGGGTTGAGCGCAGCGCTATGAAGCTGTCCGCAGCCGGGGCGAAACCCACATGGTGCGGCAGACCTCTCCTGTCTTGCCCACTGCTCCCCTCAGCAGTATCTTTGGTCCGTCTGCCTTTTCTGTTCCCCGCTCTGTCTCTGGTGATTCCTCTCACCCTCCTGCATGTCTAGCCTGTACCCCAGTTCTTGTATAAATAAATAAATCTTTTAAAAAAAAATAAAATATTTTGTCAGTGATTACTATGTTTCTATGATCAAGATTTATATTTTTGAAAATTTTATTTGTGTGTTTATAGTCAAATATCCAAAGGAAGGAGAAAAATTATAGCAGAAATAATGAGATTGTATATGCTGAGTCTTTAAGGATGTTCTGAGTCAACTCCTTCATTGCATAGCTGGGGAAAATAAGGGCAAAGGGAGTTCAATGCCTTGGCTAGAGTTAGAGAGCTAGAGAGCTAGTGGAAGGGGAAAGGAGTGAGCTCAGATCTGCTTATCTGACACATGCTGTTTACAATATGCACTCAAACAGAAATGGCTGTGAAATCAAGAATGTTAGTGAATTGGTTTCTTTTGTTAGAATCCAGACTCTTTTTGGTAGTTCTGTCAAGCTTAGCTCCAAGATCCTATCCACAATGATAGAATGGCCTATGAAGCTTTTTCATAATAAATTCTATATGGAGATAAATTTTAAATGTTAAAAAGAATTTATTTTCGTAAGTAAAATTTCATAATGGTATGTGACTAGTATTTCTGTATAAAAGGAGAAAATAGGACTAAAAGGACTTTTCTTTGGGTTTTATTTTTTTTTTTAATAGGAAGTACTTACGCCATATTTTTTTCTCACTGAAAGTAAGAAACGGTACTTCTTGGTACATGAAGATGACAATTCATTTGTTTCTATTTTTATATCTATTTTACTTTAATTAGGAACCTTTTAAAATGGAGTGTATTGAAGCTTTAACGTATGCATAAGTTGGTTGAGCAGTTTTAATTAAAACTTCTCTATTTAGAAATTAATTACTTTCAGCACTTTGAGATTAATGACACCTAGTCATGTACCTCACATGTTGTAAATGCTCCAATAAATATTAGTTTGGAAATTAGGAAAAACTTTGATCTTTTAGAATCTCACATATCAGATTCTTTACCAAATATGTGATACTCAACTGTATCAAATGTAGTAGTTCGACTTAATTTTTTCCTTCTTACGTAATTTTTAGAACTTCTTACTTGAAAATAATTTCAAATTTATAAAACATTACAAAAATAAAAAACAGATTTCTGTATGTATGTACAGAAAAACAGATTTCTGTATTGTATATATACATATATATCCAATGTGTACACATGCACATAATTCTTTTCTGAACCATTTGTGCTTAACTCACATACATTATGCTGTTTTTCCTAAATACTTCAATGTGTGTTTCCTAAGAATAAAATATTCTATTACATAAACACATTACATGTATTAAATTCATAAATGTATTTTGATAGAATATTTTTATTTACTCTGTGTTCCAACTTTGTCAAATGCCCTAATAAAATCTTTTGTAGACTTTTTGCCCTCTAGTCAGGGTCCAGAGTCAGGTATTGTATTTGTTCAACTGCCTAGTGTCCATTTAAATCTTGTATATTTCACAGGCTTTTTAAAATTTTTTTTGTCACATTCACAGTTTTGAAAAATACAAATCCCCATTAATTTTTCCTAGCACTTGTTTATTTTCTGGTGTAATGGTATATTCTGGACTTACCTTTTATCCTGTGTCAACCGTAGAATAAGGTATTTCCCTGAGGAGTCCAATTCTTTTTAGCAGGAATAATATAGAGATCAAGGTCTGGTCACTAGGTATGTTCAGTGCTGCTGAGATGTCTGCTTTTTGACTCTTTCAGTAGACAAAGCTAGGAAATGCATTCTCTCTCTTTCACACACACACAGAACATATTTTAGAAATGATGAGTACACACCAGTGCCTTCCATGCCACCTTACAAACTTATTTTTTGTCTTCCCCCATTTGGTGTTGTGTATCCCATCTTCTGCAAACCTCCATTTCCAATAATATTGATACATTTTCTCATTTGCTCAATTCTGTAATATATTTTAAAATAGTTTCAGGATTACTTTGCTTATACCATTATGATAAGCAAACTTAGTAAAAAGAGTTGGAGATTTTTTGCAACTTTTTTCCTCCTTGCTCAAGTCTCAAGATATTGAATATTGTGTTTATAAGTTACTTGGATTAGTTTTCATCCTTTCCTTCAGTGTAGTTCTTTTTTTTTTTTTTAAATAAAGTTGCACTCATTTGTTTTAGTTTACTTTCAATGTTAAATTACAGGTTCCTCCCCATTCTCATTGTTCTAATGAAATGTCTGAATAACATGTTCAGAAATCAAAACTAAACAGAAATTATCCTCTTTATGTTTCCATTTGATTTCCACCTCTCCTTTTATGAAGGAAAAAATGTAGAAGTAGCAAAGCACATCTATTGCATCTGTGTTCGGTTTTGTTGTTATTGAAAACAAATTTTATCTATTGATATGACTATAAAGAACATAATTTTTGGAAACATGCTTCAGGCTTGGTGGTTTGTAACTTTTGTTCTCAAAGATTTTCCCATTTAAACATACCCTTTTCCCATTTCACTTACTGTTCAGTGTCTTCAAACAGTCACTGCACGCTGCAATGATTGGGTGAAGTTGGAGTACTGTGGGGTGAAGGGGTACCCTTAGCCCATTTTGAGAAAGTTTGCTGTTGGATTAATGAGAGCATTAGAACTGCCTCAGTACATTGGTAAGGGAAAAGTTGCAGAAACTTCTGTAATACAAAATAGCAACAACTATATAATAGGACAAAATAATTAAGTCAAGCAAGCTAACACAAAAATTTTAGGTCCAGATTAATGAGTGAAGAAAATACCACCTTAGTGCCTTGACTGTGCTACCTGAAATGCACCTTCCTTTTTTTGTGGTTCAGAAAAGGTGCTGGTATGAGAATTCTGTAGCTTAATGGTATTCTCAACAGCATGCCTAAAAAGTTACATAACTAGATGATATATGCCCATCCTGTATTTGCCTTTTCTAATAACATACATATTAGGTTTATAAATCTTTAATCTGGGATAAATCTTTGACATACCAACTGTAATTTAGCTGGCTGAGAGAACTAAAGGTGTCTTGATGGAAGTGTCATGGTATAGCTGGGTTTGTTCTCTTTGCTACAGCCTTAATACAGATACTGGCAGCTGCGGCAGCTGAGCGAGATGTGGTTTATTTCACCTTTGGGGATTCAGAATTGATGAGAGACATTTACAGCATGCACACTTTCCTTACTGAAAGAAAACTGACTGTTGGTAAGTAGGAGATTGTCTTGACACTTGGTATCTAGATGGATGGTACACTATCCAAGAGAAATACTTCCTAAATCTGGATGAATCACAGTGGATAAGAAAGAATGAAAATGTGACTTTGAGAGGAGGGAACAAAGTCTTAGAGAGGAAACATTTACAGAATCTTTTTTTCCGGCAAAGTTTCATTTGCATTCTTGAATATGAGTATGTTAGCTCTTAAAATAAGGCTAAAAAACTGGAAATAGTTTCCATTTTTACTTTTGTACATGTAAAGTATTTAAAGAGGGAAGGCATAGGAGGTTAAGTTCACACTTAGGAGATCTCGCTCTGGCTCATATTCATCAAACATACCAGCATGTTTATCTGCTGTGTCAAAGCTGGATATGCAGATCTTGCTGCCTTGAGAGCTGAATGTAGAATTAGAGTTACCATGAGCTCCCAAAAGGAAGCATGATGAGGTGACAGATATGTAACCTGCTTGTAAGCTAATAAGTAGTTTCTTGCAGTAATTAATTTTTTTAATTTTATCTTGGGAACACTTTCCAACATGCTTTTTTTTTTTCACAAGTCCAATTTCAGCATGTTACTTAGATTTAGGAAAAACTAGAGTGTTATTTTAGTAGTTTTATCCATGTACATACCTTACTGTGCTAATTGGTCTGGGCTTTTACTCTCTAGGAGAAGTGTATAAGCTGCTGCTACGATATTACAATGAAGAATGTAGAAACTGTTCTACCCCCGGTCCGGACATCAAGCTTTATCCATTCATCTACCATGCTGTTGAGTCTTGTGCAGAGGCCACCAGTCAGCCAGGACATAGGACTGGGACCTGAAGAATGGAGTAAAATGGTGATACCTTCTACCCATCACCAGAGACTTCCTGTTTGAATTGTCAGGTGTAATATATGAACTGACTCAGTATAAATGTGTATATAGTCCACGTTTGTAGGCAAAGATGCAAATCCCTTTACACACATACAATTGTGAGTTTGTATGTCTAAACCCCCACCATCTTGACTAATTTAGATCTATTTTGCTTCCATTTTCTTTTATGTTAGTTACCATTCTTTGGATTTTTCTTTCACGGATCAAATTTCTGGTGAAATCCCATGAAAGATTATGCTCAGCCTGTGAGGTCTCTTTTTTTTTTGATAACTGTATATTATACAAAATGCTTTTGCAGCTGGTAGATGCTGGTGATGCCAGGGAAGAAGTTGAAATCCAAGAATCTGTTTAACTTGGTCTTCTGAAGATCTCCCTATGAACCTTTCACCTCAACTCTTGTTATGATTACATTGTTTGAGTTTTGAATTTTGAAAATTAAGAGTTGGTCCTTTTCCCCGCCCATGTTTTGTTTCTTAATGCAAATCTCATAGGTTAAAAGTGCTGTTTACTTAAGACAAACTAATTTCTAAAAATAATTCTTTGAGACATCGCCTTTATCTATAATGGATTGTCTGTCCTTTCTCCCTCCTTTCCCCCCCCATCAGTTTTTATTTATACTGCTTTTGGAAACTAACCAAGATAGATGAAAAAGTAGGCTAAAAGTTAATTTACCCTTATGACTGGGGGGGGGGGGAAAGAATCAAAACGGTTGAAGGATATTTTTTTGTTTTTGAGGATTATTTTTTTCTTTTTAAATTAGAATTATTGTTTGTTCCCTGGTGCTTGAAGCATATTCATATAACCAAAGTTTGGGAACTGAGAAATTCATGTTGATACGATGTTTCTCTGGTATTCGAAGGTTACTATAAAGTTATGTAATTAATAAATTTTCATTAACATATCATTTGTCAGAAACTTCCATATCTATATTGCGTGTGTGTATATATATACATATATATATACCTATGTGTTTTTTAAGTATGTCTATGTGCAAGCACATAAATCTAAATAAAACTGGAGTTGTGGAAAATCATTAGGCTTAGGCTTTGTCAGGGGCTCTGCCTTTGAATCCTTTATTTACAATTGTGTCCACTTAAAACATAAATAATAATGTCTTTCATAGGTTAAAGTAAAAAAATCAAAACCATGTCTGTGTTGAGAGCAGAGCTTAGTCATTAAAGCACTTATTCATATTTCTAAAATAATCCTAAACCATACTGTTGAAGTTCTTGTTTATATCCAACTGTCAGGAAAAGGCATTGGAGATCAAATCCTATTAATTAGGCATTTCGGTAGATGGTTCAAACTCCAAGTGTCAGTATTGGCACTTGGGGCCTTGGCCAATGTCTGTAACTCTTTCTGTTCGTATAGAGATTGAGTGGTTAATGGAATTTGGCACCTGGAGGCAGCCTCTTGTCATTGACGAAGTTCTTTACCACGGTGACTAAGATTTTTAATCATTACTCTAAGTCCAAGGCGACTGACTTTTTTCTACTGGTACGAAAATCTTTTTAGTCCATCTGATACTTTAAGAATTCATGGTTGTATCGCCTATTCTTTCCTTCTTACCCAGCCCCAAGACTAAGTGAACAGTTTGGTGAAATGTTACATGAACAGTATAGGATGGTTCTTGTGAAAAATCAATAAGTAAGGTAAGAAGACATTGAATAAGATAAAAAAACTATCCAGCCTAATATACCCAAACTTAGCATCTAACTCTCTACTCTTAGTGCTGAATAGGCTAAGTGACTGGGCTGTCTTTCTCACTGCCTCTCTTGTTGATGAGAAGTTTCCAAGAAAAAAAGCTGCCTCATTCTTTGTTTCAGTGCATTCTGGGGTGGGAACAATTTATTTAGATGGACTGTGAAAAGAACTAATGTCCATTTAGGGTAGGAGGAGGTGAAAATATGATTGCTTTGTTCTTAAAGGCCCTTTGTAAAGAGAAGGGCAAAATCATATCAAATGAACATTTATATCAATTCTAACATTTAATACCACCTTTTTATTTTCTTTCATTTGGAATTTATGTTTTTTTTTCCCTAAGATTTATTTATGCATTCAAGAACTTGGGTACAGGCCAGAGGGTGGGAGGTGAGAGGATTCACCAGAGGCAGGGTGGGGAGCAGAACAGGTGGATTGACTGAAATACACTGCTGAGAGGAGCACCAGAAAAGTCAGGAGAGGTCTGCTGCGCCCTGTGGGTACCTCCCTGGCCAGGGATTGAACTTGTGCTGCAGTGGCAGTGGATAGTTTCATAGGTTGTATCTTAACCCCTTGCGCCACCAGGGAGGCCCCTGAGGTTTATGGTTTTATTTCATGTTACTTTTCTCTCCCTTAATCTACTGAGGTGTAGATTAGGACTCTTAAGTTTTTAAGAGTCCTAAAAAAGCAAGTTTTAAAGCTTGCTTGCTTTTTTCACTTTCAGTCTGTGTCATTCAAATAACGGTTTAAGGAAGCAATGGGAGTAATGGGAAAAGCATAAGATTTTAAATTAGGCAACCTGGGTTCAAATACTAGCCACATCCCCTAGCTAACAATTTAGCTTTCTCTAAATAAACTGATTTTCTGAGACTTACTTAATTCATGTGGAAAATGGACTATTACCATATATGTGTGTGTGTGTATGTGTGTATATATATATATATTTAAAAGGGAGCAGTGATCACAGGTGCTTCCACATGGTTGATCCTCAATTAATATCGAGAAATAGTTGGCGAGGAAAGTTTGGTAACACCTACTGTATATTAGGTACTGTGTTAGTTGCGGTACCTATTTTAACCTTTTTATCCAACGAGCTAACAGATGTCTAGAATCCCACCTCAACCTCCAGGAGTTCATTATGAAAGGAGACTTAATCTGTCATCGCTGTCAGGAATCTAATAGAGCAAAAGTTCTGACTGATACACTTGTTTTCTACCAAGTTCCTCATATAGCTTATTCATCACAAATAACTAGTTTTCAGTGTGGTTCCTAAAGTTTCCTCTGTGAGAATTGTTTCTTGTTGGTTGAGGTGACATTAAAGGCAGGCATACCCAAATCAGTATTTAAAAGGTAGCTTGGAAAGGAAGCCAGCCAAGATCCCTGATTGCTATGCCTGGTACTTATATATTTATATTGCTTTGGAAACTATTAAGCTGTCCCACTCCAAGAATGTGATGGAGCAAAGAATTAATTGGATTGAATTCTTAAAAACTTCAACAGAAAAAGAGGCCATTGCATAGATTTATCCTTTTCTGTATTCTCCAAATCATGGCTGCATAGTGATGGCTTTTTCCTGGTGTAAGGAAGGCTTTATGTTTAGCATGTCTGTTTTAAAGATAAGTAAAGATCTGGAGGGCCTGTAATTCCTTTTCTCAACCCTGCAGATCTGCCTCACACTTTTTTCTAGAGGGAAGGGAAGGAATAGCCATTGTTGGAACTTGAGCTCATAATGTTTAATCTTGTCCTTCCCTGAGATATGAAGGGGACTCCCAATGTGATATTTATTAGAACTATGAAAATCCACCAGCCTACTTCTGCTCTCATGCCAGTAGCAAAATGCCCTTCATCCCCTCTTGTCAGGCCCCACAGAGATCTGCTGAGCCTTCAAAAGAAGATTTCACAAACAAGGCAACCAACACTGCATATGTTCAACTGATATTATTTTCTCTGACTGTTTATTTTAAATGTGCTATTGCTTACATGATTTTTTTTTTTTTTTATAGAGGCATGTTTATTTATTTATTTATTTATTTGTTTGTTTGTTTTTGTTTATACATGCACTGGGTACAGTCAGAAGTGCGGGAGGGTGAGAGAATTCACCAGAGCCAGAGCGGGAAGCAGAGCAGGCAGAAGGACCGAAGTACACTGCTGAGGGGAGCAGCGGGCGGCAGGAGAGGTCTGCGCGCCATGTGGGACCCTCGCTGGTGGCCGGGGAGCAGCCGGGGATCGAACCGGCGCCGCCGAGGCCGCGGGCAGCTTCGCAACCCAGTGCTCAACCGCTGCGCCACCGGGGAGGCCCTTACATGATTTTTGTAGGAAGAGAATAAGGAAATTCAGATCCCCCTGTCAGCCCCTCTTTTCTCAAATAATTGTGCTGCTTTTAACACTTAGTGTTCTTACTCTCATTTAAATGCTTTAGAACCTCAATAAAAAATAAGTAAAAAAAATTAAAATTTAGATTGGGGCCTCCCCTTGTGGCGCAGGCGGTGAGCGCCATGCTGTGAAGCTGTCTGCAGCCTCTCGGCAGGCCAGCGAGGGTCCCACATGGCGCAGCAGACCACTCCTGTGTCACCTGCTGCTCCCCTCAGCAGTGCATTTCAGTCAGGCTTCCTGTTCTGTTCCCTGCTCTTTCTCTGGTGAACCCCCTCACCCTCCCACTCATCTGACCTGTACCCTGGTTCTTGTATAAATAAATAAATAAATCTTTAAAAAAATATAAACAGCCATTTGAAAAAAAATTTAGATTGTGTCTTAGGCATTTGGTGAAAGTTTTTGCAGATAGGTCTATTATTCCATACTAGATAGACAGTAGAGATGGGGCACTGGCTAGCTCAGTCAGTAGAGCAGGGTCCTGGGTCCTACATTGGGTGCAAAGTTAATTTTGTTCTAAAATTCACAAAGATTGCCTATAAGAAACAGCTTCTGGACATTAATGGAAATGACTCTTGTGAAACAGTTGGTTTCTAGACTTGGTCTGGAGGGAAAAAAACCTGTTCTGAAAAAGCAACAGACATGTGGAGATGTCATTCTCTTACCACATGATCAAGCAGTGACATTCCTTAGTATTTACCAAAAGGACTTGAAAATGTTTGTCTACACAAAAACTTGTACTTCGATATTTATAGCAGTTTCATTCATAGTTGTCAAAACTTGGAAGCAACCAAGATGTCCTTCAGTAGGTAAGTATATAAATAAACTGTGGTACATCTAGACGGTGGAATATTATTCACTGCTATAAATAAGTACTAAGTTAAAAAAGTCAATCTGAAAAGTTACACACTGTATGACTCAATTATATGATATTCTCAAAAAAGCATAAGTATGGAGACAGTGCAAGATCACTGGTTGCCAGGGATTAGATGGAAGGGATGGATCAAAAGGCATGGATCAGCTGCCCTAAAAGCACACTAGATTTTTAGCACAGTTGCATTTTCTATATCATACTGTTGGTGGGTATATACCATATACATTTGCCAAAACCCATAGAATGTATAGCATCAAGCATGAACCCTAACGTAACCAAGGATTTTGGGTGATTTATCTTACAGGGGTTGCCTTATGTATAACTCATTTTTCTTTGGATGCTTTCAGTAATCTTATCATTAGTTTTCAGCAGTTTAATTTTAATGTGTCTTGGGGTATGTATGGGTTTGTTTATTTTATTTTGATTAGGCTTCCTAATCAAGATTTTTGTTTCTTTCCCCAAGTTAGGGAGATTATCAGTTATCATATTTTTAAAAATAAAGCTCCTACCCCTTTCTTGTCCTCACTTCCTTCTGGACCCCTGTGATGCAGATATTGTTTCTCTTGAAATTGTCCCATAGGGCTCTTACAGTATTTTCATTCTTTTTTTTGCTGGTCAGTTTGTGTGTTTTCCCTATCATATGTTCAAACCTTGATTCCGTTCACTCCTTTCTTTCTGTCTGTTGTATTTTTTTAGTTGTTATGGAATTCTTTAAATCCATTATTTCCACTTGAAGCATTCTTAATATTTTCTCTATCCTTGTTGCAATTCTTATTTTGTCAATTATTTTTCTTATGTAAATAAGCTTAGTTAGAACCATTGCTCTAAACTCTTCCTCAGGTAAGTTACCTAAGTGTGCTGGATTTACATTTTTCCTATCTTCTTCCTTTGTTCCATCATTTATAGTCTATTCTTTTTTTGGTTTTTATGGATTGACCTAAAGAGCTTTGGTGTGGTAGCCTTATATTATTAAGAATACAGGTTGGGGGCCTCCCTGGTTGTGCAAGGGGTTAAACACCACACTGTGAAACAATCCACAGTCTTTGCAGCATGAGTTCGATCCCCGGCCAGCCAGGGAGCAACCCACATGGCGAAGCTTACCTCTCCTGCCTCGCCTGCTGCTCCCCTCAGCAGTGTGTTTCAGTCGGTCAATCTGTTCTGTTCCCTGCTTTGTCTCTGGTGAATCCTCTCACCCACTACATCTCTGGCCTGTATCCCAGCTCTTATATGGATAAATAAATAAAT